ATCAGTTATTCGATGCAGACACACACCTCTTAAGAGAGCACATGCATCTAATAGCTTATAAGTAGTATTTTTGCAGCTCAACTCTAACGAAAACATAATATTAGAACTCAAGTTCAAGGGAGAATCAACCCAAAAGGTCGGTCTAATAGGTGGGAGAGCCCCTAGGCTTAAATACCTTACTTGATAGGTGTGAGACCTCATATGGGATCCTAACAATTCAGCATTTTTACTAACTAACCTGCATTTTGTTGGATGCATTTTTTTCTGTTTAATCTGCATTTTGTTTGATGCATTCTTAGTTTGATGTTTTTGCATTGATTATTCTAAATCAGGGCTTGAGAAATATTGGATAAATACTACTAATTTCATTAACCATAAAAGGAGGCCAAAACAGAGTACATATATATTGATTTCCTCTTTCTGACCGAAAACGAAGTTTCTGCATGTACAACTTATATATATATAGAATGTATCGCATTGATTTTGATTATATAGAGATTATAACTCAGAAATTAACCGTTAAAAATAGGTTAGAATCAAGTTGTCTTGAGGACAAAGGCAAATGATGGAATCATTCATTCATAATTTGAAGATGAATTACATACTTTTCTTCTCATATATAAATATTAATCCTAAGATGATGTATTTATGTTTAAAGTAAATGTTCACTTTCTTTTACTTTTATCTTAGTTTTTGTACGAGAAGCAACATCACAGGAATATTGCGCTTTTCTGACGACGTCTGTTCCCACCTACTCTTGGGGTGCAGGTAAGTAATTTATGAAGAAGAAACTGCTGTTTGCTTAGAGAAAAAAAAAAAAAAAAAAAAAAAAAAAAAAAAAAAAATGCTTTCTAATCTCAAAAACTCTTCTGAAAAAAATTGTGTTATTTTGTGCAATTTTAGAAGAGCTTAGTGATTAAACAAGTTGTTTCATTTAATTTGAAAAAACCTAGAATTTGAGCTTCTCCTTTAAGTTCTTTCTAAATATATGAATAATACAAGAAATCTTAATTGTATTGATTTGAGGATAGTTTTCAAAAAAAATCTACCTTATTATGCTAAACCTTATTTTAAAACCTAAAAACACTAAAAGGAAAAAAGCTATAGCCAATTGTTAATGATTAACAAGTCAAACTCCTGGCGGAATTTTTTTTTTTTTTTTTTTTTTTTGTATACAAAATCTAAAAATAATGAAATTGATTATGAAGAAGTTGTTTATTTCTAAGAATCTCAAAAGTTCTTCAGACATTTTAAGATCTTAGTAGTTTAGTTATCAATGGGGCTGCTATAACAAACGAGTGGCTTTGCAATCATATTTCTAAGTTCTGGCTCCTTGAAGAATTAGTTATAGCTGTGTGTGACAACATGAAAAGTACTAAAATTTCGAGTCATCATTGTCTTAAGACATTGAAATCATAAAACGTAAGAAGTTGGTTGAAGTGAAGATTGAAAATCCGAATTTAGGTATGGTCAGATCTTCCGGGGATGTAATATCTTTCTCTTCAGTCAATTCGACTTCATGTGAGGCTGATCTTTATTTCCGTTCCAAGAGATATGGACTCTGAGGTGTTTAAGTATATTGAACTTCTTAGACAGTTCCATCGTTTTTCCAAGACATTGAATTTGCAAGGTAAGACGGGAGAGGTATGTGTTGATGCAAAATTCCGTATCGATTAGAATGTCGAGACGTGAACATGCGTCAACTAAAGATACTCAGTTGATCACGAGAGGAACCAAGTTGATTGGGACGAGATCTAAGTCGAAGGCGATGCTGACAAATAATGACAAAGCAAGAGGTGAGCTTTTTAGAATGGTCGGTTGAGCAAGGAATCGAGCCTACATCCATTCTTTTCTCGAGATTTTCAGGATTTTAACTTGGTATTTATAGGGGCTATAATGACGGTTGTAGTGGGGATACGTAACGGAATGACTGTTGTCGGCCTTGACAAGTTTTGGGCGATTGAGTGTATCAGGGCATTATTATGCTAATCCTAGTTACAATGTAATTAATTGTGTTTGTCGGAGAGTAATCGTTGGTAAACGAAGCAGCTACATGTATTAAAGGTGGTGCCCATGCAATTTAATAAGCTATTAGGTGTTGCAAAAGCCTTGAGGTTTGTCGACACGGGAAACCTGGCTATGAGCTAACACTTGTCTTGAACAGGTATTTTTTCGTAGTTGTGTTGGCGTAGCAATCACTATATACTCTTCCGGGCTCAAGCTGGATTTTTATTCCCGCACAACAGTATGTCTCTGCATGCCAACGTCTCTAATCTTAATCTGTAGTTATAGTATGTGTGACACTACGGAAAGCTTTTGATACTGTGAGTTGGGATTCATCCTTTTGGGATTGCGTACTGGGGTTTTCCTAAGCGTATGGTGAGGTGGATCATGACATGTATCTATACACGTATTTCTCTGTTGCCCTGAACGGAGAGCTTCACGGTTTTTTAGGTCCTCCTGGGGTGTGCGGCAGGGGGACCCTCTTTCTCCTTACCTTTTGTGGTTGGCTATGAAGGGGGTAGCTGGTATTTTCGGGAAACCTCTCACAGCCCTGGTTTTCAATACATTGGAGATGTAGGGGGCAGCTATTACTCATTGTGTTTTGCGGATGATTTGATGGTGTTTTGTAGAGCAGATGCTTCCTCTGTTAGCTTGATCAAATCGGCATTGGATTATTTTGCTAAGGTTTTAGATTAGTGACTAATGCAGAGAAGAGCAGTTGTTCTTTCTGGAGTTATAGATGAGGAGCAGATTGGGTTACAGTCTATCATGGGTTTCCAGTTGGGCCAGTTACGGTAAGATATCTAGGGGTTCCTCTAACTCTACCTGCCTTCGACATTCTGATTGTAGGCCTTGTTGGAGCGAATTCTCTCTCGGATTAGCTATGGACGTTGGATCTTTGACCTATGCAGGCCGACTACAGTTGATTAAGTCGGTACTTTTCTCCATACAGGTTTGGTCCCATGTTTCTTTGCGGCAGTACAGTTAGACGGATTGAGTATTTTGGCCTCGTCTTGGAAGGGTACTTCTTGTCCCTCCTAGTGCTAAGGTTGCATGGTCTTCTGTTTGCTATCCATTGACGGAGGGTGGCCTGGGGATTAAGAGGATCCAAGTTGGAATAGGGTGGCTATTCTCAACACGTTGGAGGCTACTTAATGATAGATCTCATAGGTCTTCTGGGCCAGTTTGGTTCTCCTCCGTGGTCGGTCCTTTTGGCATATCCGAGTTACTTCTGGGGCTTCATGGGCTTGGAGGAAGATTTTACTTAGCAGGGTTTGGTGCCGGGGTCTTATTGTGACTTGTATTGGAGATGGTAGGGACACCATGTTATGGCGAGATCACTGGCTTCCACAGGGTCCTCTGTGTGACTTGCTCCCTTTTAGAATCTTGACTTCCACTGGTTTGCCATGGGATGCTCGGGTTTCAGACATTATTCGGGATGGTTTGTGGGACTTTCCTTCGGGCAGTGCAGACCTTCAGCTTATCTGGGACTCTATTACAGTGCAGCCTTTAGCGAGTCATCCTGATCATCTTGTGTGGAAGGGTCATCCGTCTGGACGTTTCTCTATTGATTCAGCCTGGAATGTGTTGCGAGACAAATGGGATGTGAACTCGATTCATCATCTCTTGTGGTTTCCTAGGCATATTCCACGTCACTCTTTCATTCTCTGGCTCGCTTCTCTTGGTCGGCTTCACACCATGGACCGGCTCAGCTCTCATGGTGTCATTACATGCTCCCGGTGTGTTTTATGCAGATCAGCTACAGAGACCCATGACCATTAGTTTTTCAGCTGTAACTTTTCCAGTTATGTTTGGCTGGAGGTCACTACCAGGACGCTCTCTACATGGCCTACTATCTCCTGGCTCCCTCTGCTTCAGTGGGCTAGCTTGCATCTTCGACGAAAAGGTGACTTTAGCCACCTTCTTTCCCGATTGGTCCTTTCAGCCACAGTTTATTTCCTATGGTTTGAACGGAATAATCGCGTGTTTCGTCAGCATTGTAGCTCTCGCAGAGATATTGTCTTAGCTATTTGTGATCTAATTCGGGCCAAGATTTTGGGTCTAGCACCTAAGTACGAGATCTCGACTCAGCTCCGTGGGATATGGCATCTTCCTGATTAGCTTTGTAAGGAGCCTGCGTGCTCTTTTGNATTTGTTTGGCGTAGCATCCGAGCTGGAATCACTATATACTTCTTCCGGGCTCAAGCTGGATTTTTATTCCCGCACAACAGTATGTCTCTACATGCCAACGTCTCTAATCTTAATCTGTAATTTATTAGTATGTGTGACGCTACAACTTTATTTGTTTTGCAAAGAATGTGAATGTTCGAGCGACTTGAGGCAAATCCTACCCCCTCCATTTTCTAGTGTCAAGCATTTGAACTTCAAAGTTAACAAATCCAGGGGTTTAATAGCAGAAATTGTGGATGGATTGCTCCTCATGCAGAGACTCCATGCATATCATTTTCTAGTCATATCAAGAAGTTCATTTTTCAGGTAATGCATATTTTTTCATTTTTTTAATCTGTATTGAAGCAAATGTCCAATGCATATTTTAACTTTGTATATCAGTTTTCATATAAGAAGCAGTTGATTTTCGAGGGAGCAACTGCGGTTTGCAGCAAATCCCTGGTGTCATGTTAGCAGAATTGCATCGAGAAAATTAAGGTTTCGATTACCCAATGTTATATTATGGAGGAAGAAACTTTTGAGGGTGAAGACATGTTGGAGAAGATTGTTGCTATTGTATCTTATCTAACATAGTCTCATGTTTGTAAAACTTATAGATCCATTGTCTGCGATGTATTCTGAATATGTGATTCATGTTGAGTGAGGTAATTTTATAAATATTTATTTTCATCTAAATACATAATGGCACTTAACCATGAGATAACCAAAGGGATCCATCCCTTCAAATATTCTTCATTCAAAGGAGATTAGAATTAGCAACAATTTTAAAGAATGTGAAAGAATGAAGCACCTCCTCCCCAGAAATAATTGAGCTCAAGAAATTATATTAAAAACTAAATCACTTCAAAATGTGTTTTCAACTCAAGGAAAGAGATGAAAAAATAAAGAAAATGAGGACCATCTATACAGTATCACCAACTAAAATATGCCAACAGAGGTAGCTAGACCATGAATCTTCCTGCCGCAAGCCTCGTGTGGGAAGAATTGGAACAACAATATTTGCGGGGATTTCAGAGAGTGCCAGCAACAGTATGCATACATTGGTAAGGAAACAAGCCATAAAACCATTGTCGGGTATGAACGATAGCATCAATGTGAAGTCTTACATCCATTGTGGAAGGACTTGCATGCGTCTGGTGACATTTCTTTCTGGCAGGGTGGCCAAAAAATAAAAAAGAATTCAACAGTTCTGGTTCTTGACAGTGTCACCTGGAAGTTCATATTTTAAGTTAATATTATCAATCAAACAAAATGAATTCAAACTTAAACATCAAATTGGGAAAATTTAGATGCAAACAGACTTCCACCTGAATAAAATGTAGATAATAATTCTGAGTTAATCGAATGGTGTTAACAAGAAACAGAGGAATCACTATTGCCAATGGATCGTCAATGGAGTCCATAATTCCAACATCAAACTGGGAAAATTTTAATGCATACAGACTTCCACCTAAGTAAAATGTAGATAATAATTCTGAGTTAAAAGAATAGTGTTAACAAGAAACAACAGAGGAATCACTATGCCAATGGATCTTCAATGGACTCCATAATTCTAACAGCAACTCAAGACAAGAGAAGATAAGGGTGAAGAATTTTGGTATTTGCTGCAAACTCTAAATCTAAAATTACAGCCACCAATTACAAGAAGCAGTAACCAATACACATAATTTGGGTCAACAGTTACATAAAGTGTCGACCTATTCAACGAGATAGATTTTTATATCATATCAAATGAATATGATACACTTTGCTTTCAAACAGCATATTAAAATGTTGGTACATATATGATCAGGAGCCTAAATAAAACATTAATTTGAATCCAACAAAGTAATTGTGCACTCAGATTGAAATAAAACCCATAACAGATATGTAAAATCAAGGTTATGATTAATATGCCACTCGCTTGGTTTTGTTATTAACCTTTTTCATTTTTCATGTTTTAGTAATTTCAAGGATATTTAAAGCTCCGTTTGGTACATAGTTTGGGAAAACTATTCTAGTTTTCCCAATAAAGTTAAACAAAAAATTTGTCTTCGGTTCATTTATTCTCAAAATATTATTCTATATTATTCAATTTCTTTTAAACCCCCTAAATTTGTTAATTTAACTAAACAACCCAAAAAAAAATTAAAAAAATTGACAAAAACACCCTAGCAATCCGCATTTACTAGATTCCGGCCACTACTGTCGAAATCTAGTGCGCCATTACACTAGATTCTGTTAGTGGTGGATCTGGCCGGAAAAGGCCATATCGGCGCACGACCGGCAAGATCTAACCGGTCATGCGCCAATACGGCGACTCCGGCCACCCTCCGGCGGTGGTGGCCGGCTGTCCGTATTTAGTGGGTGGATTAGGGGTGTTTTTGTTAACTTTTAATATTTTATTATAGGGGTGTTTAGTAAATAAACAACCATAGGGGATATTTTTGTTAATTTTCAAATTCTACATCGTAATACCCACCCAATTTAACTTTTTTTCAAAATATTATTCTAAAAACTATCAGAATAATGAACCAAACGGACCCTAAGTAAGTTCAGATATTTAGGAATAGACTGTTCTATTGTTTTAACATCGGGATTAGTCATACTGATTATCAATAGTACTAAATTCTTACAAGTTCCTGATTAGGTGTTCAAGCCCTAGTACAAAGAAAACCTAGCAGCCCTTATATATCAGTGTGTTTCTCAATTCAAGTATAAAGAACTAAAATTAGCTCTTCAAGTTTCTCAGACATGCAAGTGTTGGTCCCTCACTGTCTTCTTCAACTAATTTCTTCAACATTTCTCAAAGTTCCCCATTTAAGTCTATCAATCAACTCTATTTCTATTCATCACACACAGCAACCTTATTTTTGCTTTATTTCAAAACAAAATCACATCTTCTACTAATATCATTACTTTAAATTTTTTAGAGTTCTCTTTTATGTGAGTGGTTTTATTAACCCTCTATTTTCGTTGCCAAGAAAAGCAAATCCAAACAGCCAGAGTCTTCAAAATACTAAGATGTAAATTACCTGCCATGTCTCATTGAAATCTTCATCCTGCTCCAGCATTTGACACAACGATTCTGGTCCCAACTAAATAACTTCTCTAACCTTGGAATGTCGAGCAATCACTGAGAAGAACAAAGCTTCCCTGGTGAAAATATATAAAGTTTCTTAATTTAAAATAATATGAGGCAGTAAATTAGGTGGTCTCAGGTACCAGAAATGGTTCAGTGTGATTACGATTTTGAAGCTGGAGCCAGTTGAAACAGTTCAAATAGAAAATTAAGAATTAAAAGAAAAGGCTTGCATACCTCAAAAAATTCAAAAATCAGCAATAATGGCAGAAGCAGCAGATTAGAAGCACCAAAGGTTGAAAACCTAGCAAATAAGACAAAAACATACATGAGAACATATTATTAACCAGGCAAAGACAACTCATTACCAGATGCTTAAGAAAAATATAATAGTAAATATGAAAGCAGAATGATAGATTTCAATTTACTAGATAAGGAAAATAAGAAAAGCAAGAAACAAAGATATGACCTAACCAGACCAAGATATCATGGCACAATATCCCATCTAACAAGAAGAGCTGAAACAAAGCTTCGTTGTTAACTGCTAAAATTATACCATACCAATTCTAGCAATCAACTCTAACGAACAAGAAGCATTTAGTTTTTTTATGGCTATCAGACGTTATTAAAAAATATTCCTAAAATAACAAAAAGATCAAATTCCTTAGACAAATTTAAAATGTGATGGGAAGAGTGCTAAGGGTAGGCTAACCAAATGACTAATACTTCCAACATAAAGTTCCACTTCTCTTAATACCCATAGCTAGGTGAAACTAGCTTGTTGCCAAATGTGACATCTATGCTCCACTTGACAAAAAAAACCTTCAAATTCCTCTCCAATGGTTTTCTTCTTTAATAATTTCACTATATTTAGCCCTCTTCCTTCTTTGAGAATCCCTTCACTCTTTAGATTTAACATCAAATTTTCACCACACATCTGCTTCAATTGTTCTCCAAGTATTACACCAACGTCTTCCATCTTCACAGAATAAGTGGGAAAGATGTCCATTGGGACTTGCTGTGAAGAAGAAAAATGAACTAGGACAGGTATACAGGTAGACACTAAATAAACTGAACAACCACCTACTGAGTCAAAGCTTGCCCGTAAAGATAGTAGGAAGAAGACCGACAATTTAGGACACAAGTTAAGCATCTGTAACTCCACAAAAATGCAACCATGAAGACAATTGATGCACACCACCATCCAAATATTTATACGAAAACCAGTTATAGAAGTTATTGACAAAAATCACTGCCTCAAACGTGGATCACTGGAGACCTAGCCTCAATTGTTACTACCAAGAGGAATTGGCACCAATCTAGGAGGGAAATAAAAACAGAATTTTACATTGGTCACAACCAATGAAGGAATACACAAAGGATAAATGAATAAAAGAAGATAATATTCTCAGAAAATTATATCACTTACTTGACCAGAAAACTCGTCCAGCAGCTTCATTGTTGAGCATGACTTGCCAACTTCCGGCATATCTCATATAATGTATAATCTTCTTTCAGAGTTGGCTTCAGCTTTTCTAGATGGAATCAGATATGTGCCTTTTAAGTAAAATTTCTCCTCCACCTCACTCCACCAAATATGAAGAACAAAAGGCACTTTGATCCCCAGCAAAGTTTCCATCCTCTAAATTTTACTTACCCTTCTTCTTCCACTATTTAGGGCTTACAAGCACTTATAATACTAACATCATTACATGAACATTGCAGTGGGAAAGTTAACTGCAGAACTTCCTACTTGGATGAGTCATCAACTGGGAGAAAGATGAAAAAGGAGACTTCTCCTTACACTAGCCAAAAACAGAATATGAGAGAGAGAGACCTAGATCCCTCTAAAATTAAAATCCATAGCAACAAACTAATCGTTCCTCGTGCCATAAACTTTTACCTCAGCAATAGATATAGGTAGAAAGTGCATGCTGACTTGGAACGATCCCAGGCCAGCAAAATGTTTTAATACTAAAAGCGAATGATAGTTAACTGCCCGAGTAAGTATGATTGATGAAAAAAATATTACTAATAGCTTAAGTGGAAGAATAAAAAAACAAAAAAAAAAAAATTGTTTCTTTTCCTCACTTTAAGTTACTCCTCTGTTACCACTATATCTCCTCCAAAGCTTTTCCTATATATATATCAACAACCTTCAAATATTATATTAGGACAGTTTTAAATATCACCACAGGGGCTAAGTACTCATTAAATTTCTGTCCATCTCTCACCCAGTCCAGTCACTTCCTATAAGCGTAAACCCCCATCCTCTCTTATTCCTAATTTTGCTTAGAAATCCAACTAACTCACAGATAAGAGCTATAACTGTGCATATATGTTTTAGATGAAAAATAGTTTATCCAGAACCACAAAAAAAATAAACAAAACTGAGCAGGAATCTGGCAAATCATTCTGACCAAGAACACATTTCTATAAGTAAATAGAGCAAATTGTAAACCCTAACCGGTCAACATGGTTCAAAGATGATAATGAATCAAAATTAGTAAATTCAAGGCTGATAAAAGAATGACCTCCAAAGGCAGGCATATGAAGATAATGATGAATCTAATACATAATTATGTTCAAGTACAAGAGAAATGATTGGTCTCTGAAGGAAGTGAAACTGTAACCATATCTACACTATACTCAGAAATTAATTAGTAAGGAACTCTTCTAAGATGCAAACTCAATAAAGACTTCAGTATATATGAGAAGGCTAGTTAAGGCTAGAGTCAAATCTGATTAACATCTTACAGTGTTTACAAGCACTGTAACAAGTTCAAGTGATCGATAAACATGACTAACAAAGCCTGCACACTTTCCACAACACAAACTGGAAGGGGTGAAAGCACCAGTATTGACTATATTCGTATCAAATTACAGAATTATCAGCATGATGGTTGATTTAATCAAACATCTTGCGTCTAAAAAGCAAAATCAAATGAAGCAAGATTCTATGGGCATATGAAAAAAAAAAAAAGCAAGTTCTATGAAAACAACTAAAGCCAAAAAGAACATACCTACATCAATCAAACTGAAATGCAATAAAATATAGAGAAGTTGGTGAATATATTTGCTAAATAAGATACCAACTAGCAAAAGTATCTGGCACCTCAATGCTATTATGATAGCTCAATATTTTAAAGTACAACTTCAAAAACTCAAATAGAAGAGCATATCTCCAAAATATATATCATGATATAACAGTTCAAGCTAAGTATCTCTAATAAGTTGCAGCCCGAGATACCAGATAAGACAATTTTAGCATGATCTGATGACCAATCTATCTGTGTCCTTGAGCTCGCTGCATATCATATGCACCCCAAGATCCAGGTCCAGGTCCATAATGAGGATAAGTTTCTGCACCAGCCTGCATCTGAAAATTGAGGGTAAAGAATAAGATATCCATACATTTACTGAAACAACAGCTTTGTGCATATTCTAGCATTTTATATATACATATATATATATATATCAATGATAATGATAATGCGTACATATAAAATTAATTAATAAAGACACAAATAGACATATAGAAACATATATTAAATCAAAAAACTTACAGGATTTATGCCATAGCTGGCGGGGTAAGGATTTCCAGTATACCCAGCTTCAGGAGTGCCATAAGTTGCATTATAACCGGCACCTGCAACTAATTAACGCATTATCAATAGTACTAAATTCTTACAAGTTCCTGATTAGGTGTTCAAGCCCTAGTACAAAGAAAACCTAGCAGCCCTTATATATCAGCGTGTTTCTCAATTCAAGTATAAAGAACTAAAATTAGCTCTTCAAGTTTCTCAGACATGCAAGTGTTGGTCCCTCACTGTCTTCTTCAACTAATTTCTTCAACATTTCTCAAAGTTCCCCATTTAAGTCTATCAATCAACTCTATTTCTATTCATCACACACAGCAACCTTATTTTTGCTTTATTTCAAAACAAAATCACATCTTCTACTAATATCATTACTTTAAATTTTTTAGAGTTCTCTTTTATGTGAGTGGTTTTATTAACCCTCTATTTTCGTTGCCAAGAAAAGCAAATCCAAACAGCCAGAGTCTTCAAAATACTAAGATGTAAATTACCTGCCATGTCTCATTGAAATCTTCATCCTGCTCCAGCATTTGACACAACGATTCTGGTCCCAACTAAATAACTTCTCTAACCTTGGAATGTCGAGCAATCACTGAGAAGAACAAAGCTTCCCTGGTGAAAATATATAAAGTTTCTTAATTTAAAATAATATGAGGCAGTAAATTAGGTGGTCTCAGGTACCAGAAATGGTTCAGTGTGATTACGATTTTGAAGCTGGAGCCAGTTGAAACAGTTCAAATAGAAAATTAAGAATTAAAAGAAAAGGCTTGCATACCTCAAAAAATTCAAAAATCAGCAATAATGGCAGAAGCAGCAGATTAGAAGCACCAAAGGTTGAAAACCTAGCAAATAAGACAAAAACATACATGAGAACATATTATTAACCAGGCAAAGACAACTCATTACCAGATGCTTAAGAAAAATATAATAGTAAATATGAAAGCAGAATGATAGATTTCAATTTACTAGATAAGGAAAATAAGAAAAGCAAGAAACAAAGATATGACCTAACCAGACCAAGATATCATGGCACAATATCCCATCTAACAAGAAGAGCTGAAACAAAGCTTCGTTGTTAACTGCTAAAATTATACCATACCAATTCTAGCAATCAACTCTAACGAACAAGAAGCATTTAGTTTTTTTATGGCTATCAGACGTTATTAAAAAATATTCCTAAAATAACAAAAAGATCAAATTCCTTAGACAAATTTAAAATGTGATGGGAAGAGTGCTAAGGGTAGGCTAACCAAATGACTAATACTTCCAACATAAAGTTCCACTTCTCTTAATACCCATAGCTAGGTGAAACTAGCTTGTTGCCAAATGTGACATCTATGCTCCACTTGACAAAAAAAACCTTCAAATTCCTCTCCAATGGTTTTCTTCTTTAATAATTTCACTATATTTAGCCCTCTTCCTTCTTTGAGAATCCCTTCACTCTTTAGATTTAACATCAAATTTTCACCACACATCTGCTTCAATTGTTCTCCAAGTATTACACCAACGTCTTCCATCTTCACAGAATAAGTGGGAAAGATGTCCATTGGGACTTGCTGTGAAGAAGAAAAATGAACTAGGACAGGTATACAGGTAGACACTAAATAAACTGAACAACCACCTACTGAGTCAAAGCTTGCCCGTAAAGATAGTAGGAAGAAGACCGACAATTGAGGACACAAGTTAAGCATCTGTAACTCCACAAAAATGCAACCATGAAGACAATTGATGCACACCACTATCCAAATATTTATATGAAAACCAGTTATAGAAGTTATTGACAAAAATCACTGCCTCAAACGTGGATCACTGGAGACCTAGCCTCAATTGTTACTACCAAGAGGAATTGGCACCAATCTAGGAGGGAAATAAAAACAGAATTTTACATTGGTCACAACCAATGAAGGAATACACAAAGGATAAATGAATAAAAGAAGATAATATTCTCAGAAAATTATATCACTTACTTGACCAGAAAACTCGTCCAGCAGCTTCATTGTTGAGCATGACTTGCCAACTTCCGGCATATCTCATATAATGTATAATCTTCTTTCAGAGTTGGCTTCAGCTTTTCTAGATGGAATCAGATATGTGCCTTTTAAGTAAAATTTCTCCTCCACCTCACTCCACCAAATATGAAGAACAAAAGGCACTTTGATCCCCAGCAAAGTTTCCATCCTCTAAATTTTACTTACCCTTCTTCTTCCACTATTTAGGGCTTACAAGCACTTATAATACTAACATCATTACATGAACATTGCAGTGGGAAAGTTAACTGCAGAACTTCCTACTTGGATGAGTCATCAACTGGGAGAAAGATGAAAAAGGAGACTTCTCCTTACGCCAAAAACAGAATATGAGAGAGAGAGACCTAGATCCCTCTAAAATTAAAATCCATAGCAACAAACTAATCCTTCCTCATGCCATAAACTTTTACCTCAGCAATAGATATAGGTAGAAAGTGCATGCTGACTTGGAACGATCCCAGGCCAGCAAAATGTTTTAATACTAAAAGCGAATGATAGTTAACTGCCCGAGTAAGTATGATTGATGAAAAAAATATTACTAATAGCTTAAGTGGAAGAATAAAAAAACAAAAAAAAAAAAATTGTTTCTTTTCCTCACTTTAAGTTACTCCTCTGTTACCACTATAGCTCCTCCAAAGCTTTTCCTATATATATATCAACAACCTTCAAATATTATATAAGGACAGTTTTAAATATCACCACAGGGGCTAAGTACTCATTAAATTTCTGTCCATCTCTCACCCAGTCCAGTCACTTCTTATAAGCATAAAACCCCATCCTCTCCTATTCCTAATTTTGCTTAGAAATCCAATTAACTCACAGATAAGAGCTATAACTGTGCATATATGTTTTAGATGAAAAATAGTTTATCCAGAACCACAAAAAAAATAAACAAAACTGAGCAGGAATCTGGCAAATCATTCTGACCAAGAACACATTTCTATAAGTAAATAGAGCAAATTGTAAACCCTAACCGGTCAACATGGTTCAAAGATGATAATGAATCAAAATTAGTAAATTCAAGGCTGATAAAAGAATGACCTCCAAAGGCAGGCATATGAAGATAATGATGAATCTAATACATAATTATGTTCAAGTACAAGAGAAATGATTGGTCTCTGAAGGAAGTGAAACGGTAACCATATCTACACTATACTCAGAAATTAATTAGTAAGGAACTCTTCTAAGATGCAAACTCAATAAAGACTTCAGTATATATGAGAAGGCTAGTTAAGGCTAGAGTCAAATCTGATTAACATCTTACAGTGTTTACAAGCACTGTAACAAGTTCAAGTGATCGATAAACATGACTAACAAAGCCTGCACACTTTCCACAACACAAACTGGAAGGGGTGAAAGCACCAGTATTGACTATATTCGTATCAAATTACAGAATTATCAGCATGATGGTTGATTTAATCAAACATCTTGCGTCTAAAAAGCAAAATCAAATGAAGCAAGATTCTATGGGCATATGAAAAAAAAAAAAAGCAAGTTCTATGAAAACAACTAAAGCCAAAAAGAACATACCTACATCAATCAAACTGAAATGCAATAAAATATAGAGAAGTTGGTGAATATATTTGCTAAATAAGATACCAACTAGCAACAGTATCTGGCACCTCAATGCTATTATGATAGCTCAATATTTTAAAGTACAACTTCAAAAACTCAAATAGAAGAGCATATCTCCAAAATATATATCATGATATAACAGTTCAAGCTAAGTATCTCTAATAAGTTGCAGCCCGAGATACCAGATAAGACAATTTTAGCATGATCTGATGACCAATCTATCTGTGTCCTTGAGCTCGCTGCATATCATATGCACCCCAAGATCCAGGTCCAGGTCCATAATGAGGATAAGTTTCTGCACCAGCCTGCATCTGAAAATTGAGGGTAAAGAATAAGATATCCATACATTTACTGAAACAACAGCTTTGTGCATATTCTAGCATTTTATATATACATATATATATCAATGATAATGATAATGCGTACATATAAAATTAATTAATAAAGACACAAATAGACATATAGAAACATATATTAAATCAAAAAACTTACAGGATTTATGCCATAGCTGGCGGGGTAAGGATTTCCAGTATACCCAGCTTCAGGAGTGCCATAAGTTGCATTATAACCGGCACCTGCAATGAAGAGTTAGAAGAAAGAAAGTAAAACAATTATTAACACAAGGGTAAATGAAAATTCAAATATACAGTTTGAAATACAGTAGAAAGAATGTCAAATTTCAAAAGGGATTTCCTTTGTCTAGTATGAATCTGTTATTCCTTAGATCTTTTAACCTTATAGTTGATATTTGCCATCCACATTTTTAGTGTAATGTCAGTTGTACTTGTTACTCTTTCTTCTGCCTATACATATTACATGTTTTCACCAACTATAAGCGTTAAAGAAAAGGGAACCCATTCAAAATTGGGAAAAAGAAATCCTTTTATAAAGGAACTGATTTGCAAATAGATGGCCCAATGTGAGGTCATACCAGCGTTTCCAACAGCAGCTGATGCACGAGCTCTCTTCTCTGCATTAGCAATCTCTGCACGGAGCTTCTCCAACTCCCGAGCCATTGAAATCAATTTCTTCTCCATCACCTGGCCATGTTCATAGTTCTCTGCATATCCTTTCTTCTCATACTCAATAGCAGCTCTACATCCCACCAAAAGCATGCAAATCCACACAAATCATGACAGGCTTTCCAACTGCTACTACATTACTAAAACAACAAAGCTTATAGAAACTGTTACCTTGCACGTTGCAGTTCCTGTTTCATGTTCTCAATTTCTGCCTTCAAAGCTGGTACCTGTTGTAAATCTGCTGTAACCCTAGCCAAATCTTGACTCATTACTTGAACTTGGCCCGTAAGTTCCTGTCTCACAGCAGTAAGCTCCTTAATATCAGCCTGAACCTTAAGAAGCTCACCCCGCATTGCCTCTGCCCCTCGAAGATCAACCTCCAACCGCACTGACTTGTCGTACACTTCCCTCATTTGAACATCCTTATCTGCCCGAAAAGAATCAGCAAAGTGTGCCATCCGCTGCAACTCATGCTGTGCAGCTTCCAATTCCTGCTTTAGCGCAACATGAGTCGCAGCTAATCGTTGGTTATCAGCTAAAAGACCTTGAATATCTTGATGTTGAACCGCAAGGCGCTCCTCAATTATCACTGGATGGGGTGGAAGAGCTCTAGGACCCATCCCAAACTGGGATTCCCTCATTTCCTCCAGCAATGCCGGATGGGGTGGCATTGGCCCCAGGCCTCTCCCAAATGAGGGTTCATGGACCGGAGGTGGCAGCCCCACATGAGAAGCACCTTTCATCGGAAGAGGCGGCCCACGATTTCTTCCGGCCATTTATTCTTCCGTTGGATATAATAACACTCTAAAAAGCTATAACTTTCAATAACTATAGACCAAGGTTCTCCCTTCACTTCACAAACCTAAAAAAAAAAAAAAAAATTAACAACTTTAACTAACAATTATAATCCAAATAATACAAAGCTACAACCTTTTTGAAAACAAAAGCGCAAATAAAATTCACTTTCACGAATTTCAGTTCAAAGATTTTAGAACAAAAACTGAAGAAAAGCCCAAAAATCCTATAATTATTGCTATAGAAAACAATGACTGATGATTCAATATAATAATAATTATTATTATACTTAGGATTTAATACTTACCTTCGAGAAAGGAGGGAATCCGATGAGAGATGAATCTTATCATAGGAAATAAATGCCCGAATTTTCTAGGAAAAAATAATAATAAAGCTTGGAATTTTCTAGGCTGCCAAACATATTATTGGAATGCTACGTTGGAAGCGAATGATATTTGAAGTATGAAATAATGCCACAGACAGAGAAACCAATTAATTTCAGGGGTTTAAAATGGGCCGAAGCCCAGCATGAAGAGTGTTGTGCTGTGAATTATTTAATCTCAATACTCATAATAGTTTTTTTTTAATTTAAAAACAAATAAATAAGTCGGGGGGGGGCGGGGGAGTTTTTAATGATTTGATAGTTTTTGCATTTTGTTCTTTAAAATGAATAAATTTATTTGGGATTAAAAAAGTGCTTCTATAGAATAAAAAAAGAAAATTGAAGTAATGAAATTCCCATATTTTTTTATATATATAAAAGGAATAATTGATGGAAAATAAAATTTAATTGATGCATCTTAGAAATCTTCTATTAATAATGGTGTTATATGTATAAAGTTTGTATATAAGGTCTTGTATACAAAATAACATAACATTCAATTTTAATTGTTTAATTCTTTGATTCATTTTGTGTCACATTAATTTATACATGAAATGTTATTTGATTGCAATAATGTTATACATATAAAGTTTGTATTGAAATCTTGTAAGTGATATGATACAAGGTGGATGAATAAATTAATATATTAATAAAATTATACAATAATAAATGTTGTGTTATATGACAATAGTAAGAACAGTGATATATCACTTTGTACACCAAAATTTCTATGAAGACTTTGTATCTTTAGTATTATTGTGTTATAACGTTGTTATGCGGTAAATTCATGGAGTATGAATTTACGGCACATGTCATTTGACTATACAAATGAAGCATGAGCTCTCGCCATGTGATATATGATTGTGCATCTATCAATGTCACATGTCACACTATAAAAGGATTATTTCAATTATAAGGTTGTCATAGGTTGTTTCAATAGTAAAGTTCAAGGCTGAGTTGTCTAGGTCGTGTGTTGTCTCATAAGAGGGTTACTTTACTAATAAGTCTCTAATAAAAACGGTTTATCAAGCCCCGTGTCATGCGATGAGAAGATTAATTCATGAGTAAGTTCGTCTATACAACAATATAAATAAGAGGCTCTCACCCCCAAAGAAGGAATCCAAAATTTCATTTTTGTCAATAGCTAAGAACAATTGTCTCATTTAAGAAGCAAATGGACTTTATAAATACACCAAAAACACACTAAAAAAAATAAAATAACAATAGACATAGAATTTGTGTTTTGCATCAAAACCACTTTAAAAACTGCTCTTATGTTATCTTTACTTATTTACTTGTATTGTATTACTTTTCTCATTAGTTCAGCATTATATTTTCGGTCTCTAACAAACCCTTGCAAGAACATTCCCGAAGGCTCACGTACTTTTCATTTGTGTGAGAAATCGCAACAACAAATGTCATTCATCTCAATAAATTAGGAATTTAATGAATTGAATTTTATAGTCACCACCATTTATTTTATGTCGTATTCATCTCCAAACAATAATGAATAGTTAAAATTATTATTTGCCCTTTATACATTATATGAGAATTTATATCAATTTCATGTACCCCGTGAGCCGTGACTTTGCCTTTTATCAAACTTTCGTCTTTCGTCGGTGAGATATTCCCAACGGCTATATCATAAGTAAGCCCCAAAAATGTCTAAACTCAGCAGGGCTAGGCCCAACATGCGGTGACCCTCACGTGAACCTCACCACTCTCACATCTTGTTGCCCAAACTGGCATCAAAATATCTACCTCAATTCCAACTTATATATACCATCTCCACAATATTCTCTCTTTCCTGTTACATGCAAAACCTCTTTTACCCAAAGAAGCCATGGATGCATTGTGGAGTTTAGAAGACAAATGGAAGCTCACAACTCAAGAAGCACTTCTATTGTTCGTGTGCACCGCCATCACCGTAATTGGGCTTTGCACGGCGACAATCCTAAAGACGAAGGCCCAAAGAAAGGAGATAGCGGATCGAGAAGATGGTCGAGGGAAATGGGCCGAGCCAAGTTGCAATTGGGTGTCGATTAAGAGGATGTTGATGGGATCAGTGAGGTGGAGTGGAGCAAACAAATGGGAGGAGAGGGCGCCACCGTTGTTGGGCCTGAAGGAAGGCTACCAGGGGAGTGTGGGCTGGCAAAGCCACAACTCGGACTCGCCGGTGTGGCAGCGGCCTATACTTATGGGGGAGAAATGTGAGCTTCCAAGGTTTAGTGGGCTTATTCTATATGATGAAAGCGGTAAGCCAGTTGATCACTCTCTCAAGGAAACATCTCCCAAACCTGATATTCACCAGGTGATTATTCTATATTCTATTGTTGCTCAAATCTACAGAACAGTATAAGCTAAATTCTAACTAGCTTAGATAAATTTTCATATTATGATTGCATTTTTAGCTGGTGAATGAAGCAGAATATGGTCTTAGACATCTAAGAAACTAAAATAAAGGTGTACAATAAAATTTTCCTGGAAATTTAACATAGTTTATGTTGTTCTGTTTGGCAGGAAAAACCAGTTGCTGTTGTGAGAATCACTTTGAAGGACTTGCTTTAAATTTTTGTGTATTTTACTAGCAAGTTGTAGCAAAAGTGAGTAGAGTTTCAGTGGTGATATCATGTTTTTATCTTACAAAGTTTCATGTAAAAATCTTTGCCATGACTAAACCTGACATAAACTTTATGTAATGTTAAAAGATTGACCATGGAAAGCATGACAGGATATCAGCTGGTTATAAGGTTGGATTAGAAGAAATAAATATGTGATTTAGATACAGTATAAGGGATCTAAATATCCATTCACTACAACAAAAGTGTTTATTTTCGACAGCATTTTTCCGAGAGATATAAAAACATATCGGAAAATATATATATATATATATATATATATAGAGAGAGAGAGAGAGAGAGAGAGAGTTTGGTCTTAGTTTCAAATTAAGCAATATATAAATCTCTGCTTCATACCATAACTTGAAAGAGACGGCAGCTAAGAATATGGCATCTATTTTGCATGTGTTTAACGCATCAGTAAACTTGAATTATCAACAATGCGTTTGCTTTCACAGACTATATCTCTCCATAGTTCTTAATTGCTTGAGAGGTTCTGAAATTACCCCAGAAATCAGCAAGTGCAATTTTCAGACCATCCCAGTAGTCTAATCTCTATATAATCTAAATAAACCTAATTGAATCCCCTATTCAGTGCCTGCTCAACCCTATGGAACCCTTTAACAGTCAAACTCAATTGCAGTTCTCTATTCGGATGCGTATGCGCTTAAGACCCGTTAACGCTGCCTTATCCAAGGAAAACTGCATACAAAGTCTTATCCACAGACAACTAAGGAGTAATGTACAAGTTTCAAAGCTAATAACATAAAGACCAAATCCTGGCTTCTGTTTTATGTTAATAATGATAGACGGCACAATGCCCTCATTATGTTTACAAGCCAAAATCATTGGGACTAAATTATTTTTGTCACCTTCCTTTAGCGATAATTTCTAGTACTATTTGGTTACTGTATGCAATAAAATAAACTTCACTTAGCTTTAAAATATTGTTTGCCCCAATTCTGCAATGTTCTTGATTTTACTAATTTTGCATCTTTTCTTCTTTCTGTTTTCTTAATCTGGATTTCCAGAAAAACCAGCAAGGCAACATCCTGTTTATATGTTTGAACACAAAAAACTAAAGTTTGATGGTATTATCAAATTTTAATCAGCAGTCTTTGCCCTGATATACTTTGGAATGAAGTCTTGTCAATAGAGTCATAAATTGTTTGGCATCAGTAAGAAGAGACTGAAACAACTTGGCCTTTCATTGGCGAATTCCTCTGCAGAATCTTCTCCTCAAACACTTTCATGTCGAAAAACAGAGAGTAAAAGATTGTTGCAACACAAAAACAGAGAAATTTGAAAAGACACAATCATTGGAAGTTTATGCAGAACACATGACAGTTTCACATGCATGAATCTGGCAATGCAAAGAGCCCATTTATTAGTTTATGCAAGAAATTTGAATATTCTCAAAGTTAAGAAGAATACAATCAAAGTAAACATTACAGCATGTTGCCCCGTAACTAATTAGCCTCAACATCAAAACTTCCAGCCGGGAGTTATCTAATGTATTTTTTCAATATTTTGGCTCTCCCAGGTTATTGATTTCTTCAACATGACCCCAAAATGCCTGAGTTTTGGCACTCTTATGGTAGAAAATTGTCTGCAACACAAAGACGAAGAACGAAAGAATTATAACTCTAACCAAAGTGTATGAGCCTTTACCCGTGGCTCAAGGACACCAATTTATGAACATGTGACTATCAAAGGATCTCGGGATTCATCTCTAGACGTCCCCCTGTAGTAAAAATACAAAACTAATTGTACAATGCCCAGAATAGTTCCTATCCCGTTTGGCACCTGAAATTTAAATAAATCAATAAATAAGTACTTTACAAGCAGGTGAATAATAAAAAAAAGAGACAAATAGTGGATTGTAAACTCACAGCTTGATCTACATTATACAAAAGAAGCTACAAGAAGCTTACATAAACAAAGGCGTCCCAGTTAAGGATTCCATATAGAAAAAAGGACGAGCTCATCAAGAAGGTAGAAAGCGAGAGATAAAATGGCATGAATTCAACGCTTCTTGTTCGAATCACCAAATTCTGGAAACAGTAGAAAGAAACAAATGTAGTTAAAATTTCTGCAATATAAGGAGAAAATCCATATATAAAGATAAAGTACAGCCGGTGCTTTTAGTTAACTCACTATCACAAACAATGGTGAAGCAAACATTGATATAAGAGCAGCACTACTCAATATGCCAACAAAAATCCACCGCGTAGAACTGTCAGCTATTTGCAAGCTCGAAACAACAATAACTCCAAATAGACCAAAATCAGCCAGCAGGAACCCAAACATCTGAAACTGCCAAGAGCAACCAATGCAAAATGAATGACGTTGCTTAACAAATGGCCAGCCAGACTGCAGTAAGTGATGCAGCAAATTTTAAAATAATAATAATAACAAAAGACCTTTTTCTCTTTTTCAGCATATCCGATGAAGATTGCTAGATAGACCAACTGAAATACTGCACCTATTACATTGACGGTCAGTACCATAAGGTTATTATGAGATATGAGGGGTGTTCCATACCACAGGGTAATCAAGCAATTCAAGAGTGCATATACATATGGCAACCCAGAGAACGCTTCTGTTGAACCATTTCTGATTATTCTCCTAAATGTGGGTCTGAAAAGTTAAAGGAGAAAAAGTAAAGAAATTGTAATATGATTGGTTAATACCAATGATATTCACCTCCATTTTGAGGTCTTACCATATAGAATGAAATATTCAGGACAAGAACTTACATAGGTGACACAAATAGCCCAAAAGCAAAGATGTTCCCTGCAATAACCAAGAATGAAAGTCAAGACATAATTCTTGAATTTGTCAACATATTTACAACAAATGCTTCTGATTTTTTCTATTTTCAGGTGATTGTCACCTCCAAACTCATGTTAACAGATGAGTTTTTTCTGATTTGGACATAAAACAATTTTCAGAGCCAGACATACCATTAAGTATTATATCTAAGCACACACTGCCTCAGCTCATATCAATCAAGCATATGAAAAAGTCTAAACTGCAGCACATCACCCAAATTCAGTATCATGTTTCAGAAAAATCAGCTTAATGTTTCTTTTATATATCCAGAAGATTTCAACCTTTCCCATGCGTGCACTGAGTTCTAAATTGGAAGCTAGTTCCTGACCTATAACCTTGGTAGCCCAAAATTCAGCTAAAATTTAACTCTAATGTGATGGGGTTTTTTTTTCTTCCTCAAATTAGCTCCTCAATGTAGAATAATCCAAGGTCAAATGATAACAGATTACTATGAACTAAACTACAATCATATTAGAGGTCTCTGCTTCTCTCAATAGCGACAAAAGCACTTCCATTAACCAAAATAGTAACTTATGTATCTGGTTTGGTTCTGACTATTTGCCCAAAAATGAAAACTTACTCAAAGAAATTACTTCTTAAATTGAGAGAGGTGTGATCCTAGGGAATGACCATTTGCAGCAAAAAGAAGAAGCAATAATCAAATTATACCCCCAGGTCGAAATAAAATATACAGTTTGGGGCGCAACTGGGAACCTTAAACCCAAAAAACACAAGCAATAAAGCATTTGAATAAAGCTAACAATTTCTCAACTTCAATTTCTCTCTATGTATAGAGAACCACAAAGGAATTTTCCATCCAGCAAAAGTCAATAATCCTTAACATCATTACAGAAAATAGATCCATGGGCGTCCCTAGTGTCAATAACTGAATCAAGGGTTCGTCTTCCTTCTTTAAACAAGATAATATACAAAGTAAACACAATTAGAAGCATAAATATCACAACTTTGACCAAAAACCAATAATGGTTTTCTCAAATATCAACAAGCAACGAGACTTTTACAGAACAAAATGCAACAAGTTCATTAATTTCCCACAAAAAACCAAGTTTCATACAAAAATGGAACATGCCCTTTACAAACAAACACAAAAACAACCCAAAAATTGAACCAATATAGATAAAAAGAGAGATACCGGCGACTCCAGCTGCATCCTTCAAAACCAAGCTGGAAATCATCATTATTCATGAAGCCTTGAAGTTGAACCAACACTTTAATTAAACTCAACTCAAACCTCCAAAACAAACTAACCCACCAAAAAAATTATATATACAAAAAACCCTTCTTTAAAATGAATAAAATAGTCTCTCTCTCTCTCTCTCTCTCAAATGACTTGTTTTGGGAAAAAAACCAAGCTGTACCCAGAAATTGCAACAACAAAATCATGGAAAAATCCCCATCTTTAACATGAGTTATTGTCAGTTTCTTACCAATGTCAGGCCGTTCAAAGAGCTTGTGTCTGATAGTTTTTGCACGTTTAGAAATAGAAGTATTCTGCACGAGAAATAATTAGAAGAAAATGTTAAAAAGTGAGGGGTTGAAAATTTGTTGAGGTGTTATTTAATTTATTGAATAATTAGAGATTTGGATCTTGTATGTTTGTTTTAGTTGTGTTGTCTTTGGAAGTGTCCATGTGATGTGAAAATAAAAAGGGACATTTCATTTCATTAATTAAATAAGAATATGTTTATTTTAATCTAAGAATATCCTTACTCTAGAGATGTCTATTTACGTAAAACCATTAAAATAATAATATCAATCAAACCAAATAAAAAATTATTATGTAAGAGAGTGTGTTGATGTAATTTCAAATTAATCTACAAATTAAGTTGATTTTATTTCAAACTTCAAGGGATTAAATTAGTTTAATATTGTTTCTGCTTTCTAAGGAGATTGAATTGAAAATTTTATGTCCTTCTAATCTTTTTTTTCCTCTTATACCCCTTTCTTCCTCGTGAAAATACATAATTGCCGTGAAAGTTGAATTTTGGGATCTACAATAACAATTCCAGTTATTTTTTTGCAAGTGTCATTCTACCTTCTACAATTTTAAAATATTTTGATTTCTCGTTTGCCTATTGTTATTTTTAAAAAATTAGAACTGATGCAAGTTTATGTCAGTGAATATGAATCAGACTTCAAGAAGGCTTTGCGTCTTCTAAAGTCAGTTACGTCACCTAAGACAGAAAGAATATAGTTGTCAACAACTCAACCAACTAAAGTTCTGTCTATAAATGAATTTGGTTTATACACCTATCCAAGCCTCATTTAATTTAAGAATATTTCCTAAGTTATCAATCAATGAGACATGACACCTACCTACTTGTAGACTTATAATCATTATCTTGAACTCAGTGGGTATAAATAAGCAACTCCCCCTCACAAAATCATGATCAAATACTCTGAAATTAACAAACCAAATAGCAAAGACACCCTATGGGAAATAGACTAGTTTAATATTCTGTCATAATACCAAGCATTTGTAATTTAGTTATCAGTTCGCGACTTCTTGTAATTTTGGTTAATTACCAAAAACACTCGTATAAAAGAAAACAGTTAATGTAGGAATTGATTTAAACATTCGAACCACTATAAAACTCTCGTTATCTCATTTACTTTTAAGTCTTTGCATGCAACTGTGAAAACAGTGACTTTTAATCAACTCTTATAATTAATCACGTATAATTTTTAAGACCTTTTTAATATTTTAAATATATGAGATCGTTGATATCAAAATCAAACATGAATATATTTCAATACTGCAACATTTTAAAAATCAGCTTAAAATCGCACAAGGAAAGATATTTAATAGTCCAATTTTAAATCAGAAAGATTTTTCAACCATTCTTTGATGATAAAAATACGGGTAAAATAGGGATGAAGTAAGATGAGAAGTCATGTTTTCTTTAACCCCTAGTGAAGGGCTTTACATTATCTGACAGCTAATTGACACACGATTTCCACGTGCCTATTAACTTAATCTACAATTATGGTAGATAGATAATGACAACCGACAAGTTACGTATCCAAGATCCCAAAAATAATTAATAAATATAGTAAAGACGTATAATTTTTACTTAAAACAATAAAATACTTTATAGCTTTAATGAGTTGTCAATTTACTTGTATCAATCAAGTATTAATTAATTTTCTGCAAATTGTTGATATTTTGTAATACTCAATCAATTTAGACTTTATTTCATATTTATAAGTATGCTTTAAATAGTAAATACATCAATTTGGTCATTGAATTAACTTTGATTAGTCTTGATCTTTGATTTTGACATCGACGATTTGCATATACAAAATGTAAAGCGGATTTAGAAATTACACGTGATATAAAAATGAGTAATAAATGAATAAATGAGAAGCAGTTTTTAAAGTGGCTCGGATGCTTAAAAGCGAATCATATATTCACTATGGTTGTATTAATGGATAGTTACAATCAAGTCGCGTACATCGAACTGAATTACAATCTAGAAATAATTTAAATGTATAGAGAGAGAGAGAGAGAGAGAGAGAGAGAGAGTTTGCTTTTGAATACTAAAGATAAACCAATCTCGTGAATGAGAGAAGAACGCTCTATTTATACTTGGGGGATTCAAGATAGTAATCATGATTCTACAGTCAGATAGGTGTGGTCATAGTTAGTAAATACGGGTACGGTCAAAAAACGATACGGGAATTTTATGGAAATGATACGGCAAACGGTGAAAAATATGTTTATAAAAATTCAGCTTTAAAATTCGGATACGGGAAAAATATGGTATGGGTATATACGGGTTTAATATGGTATATTGTCAATAATACGTTTTACAAAAATACGGTAATATTAATCCTGATATTAGTTTTTTTTATAATCATTGAATTAATTACTCTCTATTTTTTTTTATAAATGTATGATTTATATCTTTTTTAATTATAATATTTTAGTTTATTATTACAAATATTATAGAAGTGACTAATTATTAAATAAAATAAATAATTTTATTTGTCTTTTAAGTTAAAGAAGAAGGAGATAAGATGAACAGTAGTGTTTGTTGAAGAATAATTGAAGAGGAAGAGAGGTAGAGACGCAAAAAAAGAGCAGAAGAGAGAAAGAGGGCACAAAAAAAGAGAAAAAGAAAGAAGAAGGCGCCAAAAGAAAGAAAGAGAAAGGAAGCGGGCGCAGAAAATGGAAGAAAAGGCATCAAAAAGAGACTGACATCACGCTTAAGAGACTGAGCATAAAACGATGTCGTTTTGATTAAATTTTACTTAAAACGATGTCGTTTTAACTCAGTAAATAACAAAATTTTATTTTTAAAAATATGGTTGAATTATATGTGAATTATACGGTTAAGGTATATAATTCACGTATAATTCGACTGTGCTTATAGAATATGGGAATTCATGTTTTATAAGCGAATTATAAGGTTGGGCGTATAAAACGTGAATTTACTAATTAGGGGTGTGGTATAATTTTTAACCCGCTTCTCATTGGTTGTCTGCATAGGAGACATCCTTAAATCGTATAGGGCTTGGATAGGTGGACAATTCCTAGTCACTCACAAGCCTGACATTTACTTACCACATTGACGATAGCCTTATCTCTTCCGTCCTTGCGCGACGTGGTAGCGTCTAGACGACACAAAACCTTCCTAAACTTCGATTGGCCTTTGATGGCGTGAACTCATGTTAGCCCTGATTTTTTTAGACATAACAATTATGATGTTTTTAACTGATTAAATGAAATGAATGATTTTAAACATTAAAGTCAAACTTATAACATGATATCTTATATAGATAATACAAAGGTGATTTTTGTTTTCTTTCCTAAAATTTGAAAATAAAAATGTTTTGATAAGTCTATTTGGCAGATGAGAAAATATGTTTGGGTGGATATTTTTTCTAGTTTAGGTGGATATTCTGTGAGTGATTTCCATAAGTATAACCGTTTGGGGCGCAACTGGGACCTTAACAAAACCAAAACAACACAAAGCAAAAAAGCTAACAATTTCTCAACTCAATTTCTCTCTACGTATGAACCCCAAAGGAATTTTCCATCCAGCAAAGTCTTAATCCTTAACATCATTACAGAAAATAGATCCATGGGCGTCCTAGTGTCATACTGAATCAACGGTTCTTCTTCCTTCTTTACAAATAATATACAAAGTAAAAACAATTAGAAGCATAATATCACAACTTTGACCAAAACCAATAATGGTTTTCTCAAATATCAACAAGCAACGAGACTTTTACAGAACAAAATGCAACAAGTCATTAATTTCCCACAAAAAACCAGTTTCATACAAAAATGGAACATGCCTTTACAAACAAACACAAAACAACCCAAAAATTGAACCAATTAGATAAAAAGAGAGATACCGGCGACTCCAGCTGCATCCTTCAAACCAACTGGAAATCATCATTATTCATGAAGCCTTGAAGTTGAACCACACTTTTATAAACTCACTCAAACCTCCAAAACAAACTAACCCACCAAAAATTATATATACAAAAACCCTTCTTTAAAATGAATAAAATAGTCTCTCTCTCTCTCTCTCTCTCTCAAATGACTTGTTTTGGAAAAAAACCAAGCTGTACCCAGAAATTGCAACAACAAAATCATGGAAAAATCCCCATCTTTCATGAGTTATTGTCAGTTTTCTTACCAATGTCAGGCCGTTCAAAGAGCTTGTGTCTGATAGTTTTTGCACGTTTGAATATCTTATTCTGCACGAGAAATATTAGAAAAATGTTAAAAGTGAGGGGTTGAAATTTGTTGAGGTGTTTGTTTAATTATTGAATAATTAGGATTTGGATCGTATGTTTGTTTTAGTTGTGTTGTCTTTGCAAGTCCATGTGATGTGAAAATAAAAGGACATTTATTCATTAATTAAATAAATATGTTTATTTTAATCTAAGAATATCCTTACTCTAGAATGTCTTTTACGTAAACCATTAATAATAATTATATCAACATACCAAATAAAAATTATTTGTAGAGAGTGTGTTGATGTAATTTCAAATTAATCTACAATTAAGTTGATTTTATTCAAACTTCAAGGGATTAATTAGTTTAATATGTTTCTGCTTTCTAAGGAGATTGAATTGAAAATTTTTGTCCTTCTAATCTTTTTTTCCTCTTATACCCCTTTCTTCCTCGTGAAAATACATAATTGCCGTGAAAGTTGAATTTTGGGATCTACATAACATTCCAGTTATTTTTTTGCAAGTGTCATTCTACCTTCTACAATTTTAATATTTTGATTTCTCGTTTGCCTATTGTTATTTTTAAAAAATTAGAACTGATGCAAGTTTATGTCAGTGAATATGAATCAAGACTTCAAGAAGGCTTTGCGTCTTCTAAAGTCGTTACGTCACCAAAGACAGAAAGAATAGAGTTGTCAACAACTCAACCACTAAAGTTCTGTCTATAATGAATTTGGTTTATACACCTATCCAGCCTCATTTATTTAAGAATATTTTCCTAAGTTATCATCAATGAGACATGACACCTACCTACTTGTAGACTTATAATCATTATCTTGAACTCAGTGGGTATAAATAGCAACTCCCCCTCACAAAATCAATCAAATACTCTGAAATTAACAAACCAAACAAGGCAACATCCTGTTTATATGTTTGAACACAAAAAACTAAAGTTTGATGGTATTATCAAATTTTAATCAGCAGTCTTTGCCCTGATATACTTTGGAATGAAGTCTTGTCAATAGAGTCATAAATTGTTTGGCATCACTCATCAGTAAGAAGAGACTGAAACAACTTGGCCTTTCGTTGGTGAATTCCTCTGCAGAATCTTCTCCTCAAACACTTTCATGTCAAAAAACAGAGAGTAAAAGATTGTTGCAACACAAAAACAGAGAAATTTGAAAAGACACAATCATTGGAAGTATATGCAGAACACATGCCAGTTTCACATGCATGAATCTGGCAATGCAAAGAGCCCATTTATTAGTTTATGCAAGAAATTTGAATATTCTCAAAGTTAAGAAGAATACAATCAAAGTAAACATTACAGCATGTTGCCCCGTAACTAATTAGCCTCAACATCAAAACTTCCAGCCGGGAGTTATCTAATGTATTTTTTCAATATTTTGGCTCTCCCAGGTTATTGATTTCTTCAACATGACCCCAAAATGCCTGAGTTTTGGCACTCTTATGGTAGAAAATTGTCTGCAACACAAAGACGAAGAACGAAAGAATTATAACTCTAACCAAAGTGTATGAGCCTTTACCCGTGGCTCAAGGACACCAATTTATGAACATGTGACTATCAAAGGATCTCGGGATTCATCTCTAGACGTCCCCCTGTAGTAAAAATACAAAACTAATTGTACAATGCCCAGAATAGTTCCTATCCCGTTTGGCACCTGAAATTTAAATAAATCAATAAATAAGTACTTTACAAGCAGGTGAATAATAAAAAAAAGAGACAAATAGTGGATTGTAAACTCACAGCTTGATCTACATTATACAAAAGAAGCTACAAGAAGCTTACATAAACAAAGGCGTCCCAGTTAAGGATTCCATATAGAAAAAAGGACGAGCTCATCAAGAAGGTAGAAAGCGAGAGATAAAATGGCATGAATTCAACGCTTCTTGTTCGAATCACCAAATTCTGGAAACAGTAGAAAGAAACAAATGTAGTTAAAATTTCTGCAATATAAGGAGAAAATCCATATATAAAGATAAAGTACAGCCGGTGCTTTTAGTTAACTCACTATCACAAACAATGGTGAAGCAAACATTGATATAAGAGCAGCACTACTCAATATGCCAACAAAAATCCACCGCGTAGAACTGTCAGCTATTTGCAAGCTCGAAACAACAATAACTCCAAATAGACCAAAATCAGCCAGCAGGAACCCAAACATCTGAAACTGCCAAGAGCAACCAATGCAAAATGAATGACGTTGCTTAACAAATGGCCAGCCAGACTGCAGTAAGTGATGCAGCAAATTTTAAAATAATAATAATAACAAAAGACCTTTTTCTCTTTTTCAGCATATCCGATGAAGATTGCTAGATAGACCAACTGAAATACTGCACCTATTACATTGACGGTCAGTACCATAAGGTTATTATGAGATATGAGGGGTGTTCCATACCACAGGGTAATCAAGCAATTCAAGAGTGCATATACATATGGCAACCCAGAGAACGCTTCTGTTGAACCATTTCTGATTATTCTCCTAAATGTGGGTCTGAAAAGTTAAAGGAGAAAAAGTAAAGAAATTGTAATATGATTGGTTAATACCAATGATATTCACCTCCATTTTGAGGTCTTACCATATAGAATGAAATATTCAGGACAAGAACTTACATAGGTGACACAAATAGCCCAAAAGCAAAGATGTTCCCTGCAATAACCAAGAATGAAAGTCAAGACATAATTCTTGAATTTGTCAACATATTTACAACAAATGCTTCTGATTTTTTCTATTTTCAGGTGATTGTCACCTCCAAACTCATGTTAACAGATGAGTTTTTTCTGATTTGGACATAAAACAATTTTCAGAGCCAGACATACCATTAAGTATTATATCTAAGCACACACTGCCTCAGCTCATATCAATCAAGCATATGAAAAAGTCTAAACTGCAGCACATCACCCAAATTCAGTATCATGTTTCAGAAAAATCAGCTTAATGTTTCTTTTATATATCCAGAAGATTTCAACCTTTCCCATGCGTGCACTGAGTTCTAAATTGGAAGCTAGTTCTTGACCTATAACCTTGGTAGCCCAAAATTCAGCTAAAATTTAACTCTAATGTGATGGGGTTTTTTTTTCTTCCTCAAATTAGCTCCTCAATGTAGAATAATCCAAGGTCAAATGATAACAGATTACTATGAACTAAACTACAATCATATTAGAGGTCTCTGCTTCTCTCAATAGCGACAAAAGCACTTCCATTAACCAAAATAGTAACTTATGTATCTGGTTTGGTTCTGACTATTTGCCCAAAAACGAAACCTTACTCAAAGAAATTACCTCTTAAATTGAGAGAGGTGTGATCCTAGGGAATGACCATTTGCAGCACAAAGAAGACGCAATAATCAAATTATACCCCCGGGTCGAAATAAAGTATACAGTTTGGGGCGCAACTGGGGACCTCTAACCCAAAAAACACAAGCAATAAAGCATTTGAATAAAGCTAACAATTTCTCAACTTCAATTTCTCTCTACGTATAGAGAACCACAAAGGAATTTTCCATCCAGCAAAAGTCATTAATCCTTAACATCATTACAGAAAATAGATCCATGGGCGTCCCTAGTGTCAATAACTGAATCAACGGTTCGTCTTCCTTCTTTAAACAAGATAATATACAAAGTAAAAACAATTAGAAGCATAAATATCACAACTTTGACCAAAAACCAATAATGGTTTTCTCAAATATCAACAAGCAACGAGACTTTTACAGAACAAAATGCAACAAGTTCATTAATTTCCCACAAAAAACCAAGTTTCATACAAAAATGGAACATGGCCTTTACAAACAAACACAAAAACAACCCAAAAATTGAACCAATTTAGATAAAAAGAGAGATACCGGCGACTCCAGCTGCATCCTTCAAAACCAAGCTGGAAATCATCATTATTCATGAAGCCTTGAAGTTGAACCAACACTTTTATAAAACTCAACTCAAACCTCCAAAACAAACTAACCCACCAAAAAAATTATATATACAAAAAGCCCTTCTTTAAAATGAATAAAATAGTCTCTCTCTCTCTCTCTCTCTCAAATGACTTGTTTTGGGAAAAAAACCAAGCTGTACCCAGAAATTGCAACAACAAAATCATGGAAAAATCCCCATCTTTAACATGAGTTATTGTCAGTTTCTTACCAATGTCAGGCCGTTCAAAGAGCTTGTGTCTGATAGTTTTTGCACGTTTAGAAATAGAAGTATTCTGCACGAGAAATAATTAGAAGAAAATGTTAAAAAGTGAGGGGTTGAAAATTTGTTGAGGTGTTGTTTAATTTATTGAATAATTAGAGATTTGGATCTTGTATGTTTGTTTTAGTTGTGTTGTCTTTGGAAGTGTCCATGTGATGTGAAAATAAAAAGGGACATTTCATTTCATTAATTAAATAAGAATATGTTTATTTTAATCTAAGAATATCCTTACTCTAGAGATGTCTACTTACGTAAAAGCATTAAAATAATAATATCAATCAAACCAAATAAAAAATTATTATGTAAGAGAGTGTGTTGATGTAATTTCAAATTAATCTACAGATTAAGTTGATTTTATTTCAAACTTCAAAGGGGCGTTTGGTTGAGGGTTATATGGGATTACTGGGGTAATATTATCTTATATTACTTGATTATCATGTTTGGTTGTTAAATAATATAAGATACCGATAATCTTAAAATACCAATAGTGGTTACTATTGGTAATATGGGAGGTAATTTAATTACCTCTATTTTTTTAGGTATTCTGAGATTATCAGGGCAATCATTTTTTGTTACAATTTTATCCCTTATTAATAAAATTTTTGGACAATAATACCCCTACTTTAAAACAAATTTACATTAATATCCTATTTCAATTTTACCCTTGTTTAATTAAAATTTTGGACAATAATGCATTTATATTTAAAATAATTTATAGTCCACCACTGCCACCCAGCCACCACCGCCAACAGCGGCCAACCACCATAGGCTGTCGCTGGAAAATCACCGGAGTCCCCCAAAAAGAACGAGATTCGGTGGGAGACTCCGGGAGGCTTCGATATGGCCGTTTCTGGCCAAATTGATGGCCAAAAAGGGCCATATCGTCTGGGCAAGATATGGCCGTTTTCAGCCATCAATATGGCCAGAAACGGCCATAGCGGAGCCTCTTCGTCACGGTGAGGTATCACAGGTACTTTCGGAGATTTCCGGCGGTGGTTTGCGGTGGCGGCAGGAGGTGGCAGGAGGTGGGGGTGATTTCGTCATAAATTAAAGTTTTATATAAGCGGGGGTGTTTTAGCTAAATCTAAAATATTGGGGGTTAAAAGAAATTATTTAAAAATTAATAATAAAAATAATCTTATATTAATATTTAAAAGGGGGACAATTTAGTAATTTAAATAACATACCCACCAATTTATTCTCCATAACCAAACATATTAATATAACATACCCATCAACTAACCAAACACGTTTTTTTAAAGATTCCTAGTAATCTTCTAAGGTAATCTATCTTTCTAGTAATCCAACATTCCCAGTAATCTAACATTCTTGAACCAAACGCCCCCCAAGGGATTAAATTAGTTTAATATTATTTCTGCTTTCTAAGGAGATTGAATTGAAAATCCTTCTCCTATTATTTTTTTTCCTTTTATACCCCTTTCTTCCTCGTGAAAATACATAATTGCCGTGAAAGTTGAATTTTGGGATCTACAATAACAATTCCAGTTATTTTTTTGCAAGTGTCATTCTACGTTCTACAATTTTAAAATATTTTGATTTCTCGTTTGTCTTTTGTTATGCTTACAAAATTAAGAGTGATGTAAGTCTATGTTAGCGAGTATCAATCAGAGTTCAAGAAGGTTTGCGTCGTCTAAAGTCAGATACATTGCCTAAGACAGAAAGAATATAGTTGTCAACAACCCAGCCAACTCAAGTTTTGTCTATAAATGAATTTGGTTCGTACACCTATCCAAGCCTCATTTAATTTAAGGATATTTCTTAAGTCATCAACCAATGGGACACGACACCTACCCACTTGTAGACTTATAATTATTACCCTGAATTCAGTGGGTATAAATAAGTAGCTCCCCCTCACAAAATTAGGATTAGATACTCTGAAATTAACACACCAAATAGCAAGGACACCCTACCGGAAATAGACTAGCTTAATACTCTATCATAGTACCAAGCATTTGTAATTCAGTTCTTAGTTCGCGACCTCTTGTGATCTTGGTTAATCACTAAGAATACTCATATAAAAGAAAACAGTTAATGTAGGAATTGCTTCAAGCATCAGAACCACTATAAAACTCTCATCATCTAATTTACTTTTAAGTCTTTGCATGCAACTGTGAAAACAGCTACTCTTAATCAATTCTCATAATTAATCACGTGTAATTTCTAATACCTTCTTAATACTTTACACGTGTGAGATCGTTGGAGTCAAAATCAACCATCAACATATTTTCAGTGGCGGATCCAATTAATGACTTGTGGGGACTAGAGTCCCCACTCAACTTTTGAAAAAAGTCCATATCTTATATTTATTTAAATTTTACACTTATAGAATTATGAGATTTTGGGAACAGCTCCCACGGTTAGTTTGGATTTTATTTTTGTAAAACCCTATTTTTAATCCTAGTATATATATTTCATATTTTTTGTGATTTTTATTTTTATGCAAGATGATCTGTTAGTTTTTAAAAGTTTTATTAGGAGTGAAAATGAAAAGAATAAGAACTGTTGGGTTTGCATTTAATTGAGGGGAGAAATCTGGCCATTTTTACATCAAAAAGCTAATGTGGCGAGGTCATTGTGAGAATAAGAGAATCTTGAGGCAGTTTCATAATTCAAAAAAATTGTTTTATATATAAATTGGGTTGTTTGTCAAAATTGAAGAAAAAAAGAGAAAAGTCCATAAAGAAGAGAGGAAGAAGAAGCAAAGGAAAAGGAAATGGGTTTGGTCAATTTTATCCATTTGATTGTTCTGCACTTGAGTTGATGGTACTTGAGAACCAGATTGAGATTTATGTTATTGACATACGTTCTTGTGATAAATTTGCTAAGTTACAAGGAATTGGTGATTTGGTTAAGAATTTAGTTCAGTTTAAAAAAGAAATTTTGCATACGTTGGTGTATAAGCTTGTGAAAGTTGCATTTGTTTTATCAATTGCAACTGCGACTGTTGAAAGAGTTTTTTCTACAATGAATCTTGTAAAAAATTGGTTATGCAATCGAATGAAAGATCAATGGATGAATGATTGTTCGGTCATCTATATTGAGAAAAATGTATTTGATACAATTGACAATGATTATCCAACTTTTTCAGAATAGGAAAACTAATTAAGGACAATTGTAGAAAAATTGTTCTATTTTTACAAAAATTATGTTTTTTTAAGATATTTATTTGTATTTTATAACTTTTCATTGAAGCTAAAAAAAAAAAAAAAAGGTGTAATTAGATTGGTTTTAATTTTTTTTGGTTTATATTTTGCCCCTATTGAGGGAAATTCCTAGATCCGTAACTGCATATTTCAACACTGCATCATTTAAAAAAATCAGCTTAAAATCCCATAAGGAAAGATATTTAATAGTCCAATTTTAAATCAGAAAGATTTTTCAACCATGCATAGGTAATAATAGTTCTGTGTTATTTGATGATAAAAATACGGGTAAGATAGGGATAAAGTAAGATGAGAAGTCGAGTTTTCTTTAACCCCTAGTGAAGGGCCTTAATAGTAATTATATGACAGCTAATTGACTACACGATCACACGATTTCCACGTGCCTATTAACTTAATCTACAATTATGGTAGATAGATAATGACAACCGACAAGTTACGTATCCAAGATCCCAAAAATAATTAATAAATATAGTAAAGACGTATAATTTTTACTTAAAACAATAAATACTTTATAGCTTTAATGAGTTGTCAATTTACTTGTATCAATCAAGTATTAATTAATTTTATGCAAATTGTTGATATTTTGTAATACTCAATTAATTTAGACTTTATTTCAAATTTATAAGTATGCCTTAAATAGTAAATATATCAATTTGGTCATTGAATTAACTTTGATTAGTGTTGATGTTTGATTTTGACACCAACGACTCGCATGTGTAAAGTGTTAAACGGACTTAAAAATTACACGTGATATGAAAATGTGCAATGAAAGAATAAATGAGAAGCAGTCTTTAAAGTGGTTTAGATGCTCAAAAGCGAATCCTACGTCCACTATGGTTGTATTAATAGATAGTTACAGTAAGGTCGCATACATCGAACTGAATTACAATCTAGAAAGAATTTAAATGTAGAGAAAGAGAGAGAGAGAGTGTGTGCTTTTAAATACTAAAGATGAACTAATCCCGTAAATGAGAGAGGAGCCCTCTATTTATAGTTAGGGGATTTAAGGTAGTAATCATGATTCTGCAGTCGGATAGGTGTGATACAATTCTTAACCCGCTCCCCATTGGTCCTTAAATCGCGTAAGGCTTGAGCAAGTTGATAATTTCTAGCCACTCACAAGCCTGACATTCACTTGCCACACTAACGATAGCCTTACCTCTTTTGTCTTTACGCAACGTGACAGCGTCTAAACGACACAAAACTTTCTTGAACTCCGATTGGCCTTTGATAGCGTGAGCTCACGTTAGTCCTAATTTTTTTAGACATAGCAATTAGGATGTTTTTAACTAATTAAATGAAATGAATGATTTTAAACAGTAAAGTCAAACTTATAACATGATATCTTATATGGATAATACAAAGGTGAATTTTGTTTTCTTTCCTAAAATTTGAAAATAAAAATGTTTTGATGAGTCTATTTGGCAGATGAGAAAATATGTTTGGGTGGATATTTTTTCTAGTTTAGGTGGATATTCTGTGAGTGATTTAACTAAAGGACTTGGAGACTGCAACGGATTTCTCTTTCTACCTATTTTGAAACATGAAGGAATTTAAACTACTAGAATGTGAAAACACGAGTTGTTAAAGGCAACTCAAAAACCATAAAACCAACACAAGGCTGAGGTAAAGATCGACGCATTCCTTTCATTAAGACTTCTATTTATAGTAAGAGTTATGTTACAATTCAGCTATCACACCTAGAGGTGGCCAAAAAGCTCGGGCCCATGTAGGTCCCTCCTCCAAGGCCCGGGCTTAGGACTAGTCCCAGGTCTGAGCTCGATTATACTGAATAATCAGGTCTATATACTAATCAACCTACATAGGACCAATCCCAAGACTGTCCTATACAAGCTAGGCTCGAGCCTAGAACTGGTCTAAGCCCTCACAAAAGTGACGAACCCAAGACCGGTCCCAAATTGGGACTAGTCCTTGAAGGCACGGGCCTAGGACTGGCTTGGGCCCCGTTTGCTCACCTCTAATCACACCCATGACCCCATTAGAGTAGAACTCTACTAACAAACAAAGTAACTAAATCAACGTAGCTACAACCACGTTCCTGACTCTTAAGTCTAAGTTATTCAAACTAATAACTAACTACTCACACCAAGCAATAACAACTCCTTATTCCCTTTCTAGCTCTTGGATAAGTATTCCAATTTCCAAGCACTGACCCACCAGCCTATAACAATATTGATGGTCCAACAATGAGTGGATAGTGAATGGAAAGTCAGAGATAATTAAACAATAACGAATTGAAAATGAATGTTCTGTCTAGAAATAGAATATTCTCTAAGGGTTCATTTGTAAATTATCATTTTAGTTTAATTAGATAAACGTAACTGCGATTAAACATAGAAAATTAATATCAAAACATCTGGACTAAATAATTATTGTATATTAACTAAACGTTTTATTCCTTGTATTTTCATTTTGTATTCTAGCTCTTTAACTTTGTGTGATATACTCATATGTGGGCAATACAATATTTAATGAGAGGTAAGCAAAGTTCAGCACAAGCAGTCCCAAATTGACTGGGACACGTCGTGGGCCCGGACTGGTCCTATACAGGCATAGTAAATATCCATTTAACCCCAACCTTTTAACCCCTAAATTTATAATGTATTTCATATATTATAGAGGGTTTTGGTTATTTGTCAGTGAGGTTTTGGTTATTTGGTAAGGGGATTTTAAAATTAACTAGGCCTAGGCCTTGGAAAAGGGACCGATCACCCCTCCCTAGGGCTCGGGCCGATCTTCGGACTGATCCTATAGAGATTGGTCCTCCCAAGGACCAGTCCTTGGACCTGAGCTTTTTGCCCAGCTCTAAATTTTAATCATTTATATGTAAGAAAAGAACTGCATAATAATAAACAATTTATTTATTGATTAGGTCAATCCAAAACAAATTTGTTAGTTAAAGAGAGCTGAACAACTTGGAAAATAGATTGCTTATGCCTATGACCCATCTTGATTTTGATAGCCCACTTCATCCATTTGAATGAAACTTAAGCCCATAAAATAAAAGCCCACCATTTCACCTCATATCTATCAATAATAGTCAGCCTTCTTCTTACCAAATAAATAATATTTATGTATCATTTATAACAGTAATTAATAAATTGTTTGATAAATTACTCTAAATTGTAAAAAAATAATATTTCATTTTAAGTTACATAATCATCGAATGAAGGTTCTCGAGGCCTATAACTCATAAGAAGATCATTAGAACCCTAAAACCACTAAAATGTTTTACTGATTAAATTGTTCATTTTGCTGATTCAATTATAGCCAAAGAGAAGTTATTTTAATGCCAACTCAGTATCTTTTAAAACCGTTAGATTAACAAAGATGAACGACTTACAAGCAGTATAAAAGAAATTAAGTTATAATATATCACGACCTTAATCTTGAATGGAGAAAAGAAAGACTTTTAAATCCTCCAGTCACCAAGCACGCACTTAGAAATTAAAAGAAACCCTATCTGCTTATGGTCCAATATCACAAATGTACAAGAAACCTGGGCCCAGGCCCAGGCCCATACAAAGGGTCCAAAAGATAAAAAAAAAAGAGTTCATAGCTTGGGAAAATCAGAACTTGGCAGTGATGCCGTCTGTATTAAAATACAAAAATTATACCACCTTGGATTTTCTATTAGGTTGTGAATTCATTGGACAATGTATTCTCACTCAAATTATATCTATAATTTTTTATATGGTGGGACACGTCTGATAGATCAGGGGTGAAAGGTGATTGTATCTTTCACCTCCGGATTGTTGTGAAACAAACTGTCATCGAGATCCCACAACCATATTCTTTTTGTGACTTTGTCTAAGTGGAGCCCTCGATTCAATTAACAGGTAAAGTTATCTTTGGAGTTTAGGGTAAAGCTTTCATAGAATTTTGTTTGATAATTCCTATAAAATATTCATTTATTCATTTCATGACATATTGAAACAATTGACCTGTAAGTTTTGTAATCGAGTCACATCAAGTGATCATTTATCACATTTGTTGTGACTTATTTGATTTATTAAATATATAAGGTATTCAATGGACCATGTGAATTAGTTGAAATATACAAAATTGACTCAAATCCCAGTTACCAAAAAAAAATAATAATAATAATTATATACCAATATCAAATTACAAAAATGTTAGTAAAATTCGTTATGGTAAATCTTAAAAGTGATAGTATTTATCCAATAAATTAATTAATATCGCTGGAATTCTCTCTTAAAAACTAATCCAACGGTGTACAGTAGCCCTATAGTATTCTTACACCATCCAAAATTAATCATAACAAATCTTTGTATAATCAAAAGATTCAAAAACTGATAAATAGAAAAAGGAAAGAGAAAACTTGTTAATTCAACGCGTTATTGGAAAAATCATTCGAAACCCTTTTTGCTATTTCCAGGTAATACCCACCAAGCCTCCTTTCTTTACAATTCAAACATTTATTTTATCATTTTACTCACATGTCAATTAATATCCGAAATTTCAACCTACCAAACTCCCATTCAGAAAAAAAAAAAAATATTTTCCCCAAATATAGGTGAATATTTAATTTAGGTATTATTATTAACCATTTAATCGAAATTACTTCATTTTTGGTAATAATTAAAAATATTAAAAAAAAAAAGGCAGAAATTTACTCTACTTATTTTCAGTGCGCTCAACCTCAAAAATCCAAACACATATCAAATTCTCATTGGTTCATGAATTCCGTTGAGTTTTTTTACAACTAATAAATTGCCACGTCATGTAATTCCATGGGCTTGACTGTAGATTATTAACGAATTGGCTGCCATGTCTAAACGAACCCAACCTAAGTAAGGTTAGAAAGGTAGAAAACGGCGTCGTATTTTGAGGTCAATTTAGTCATTTAAAGTCGTAGACGGTTTTCCTTCAACTGTTTATGAAATATTTATATAAATACAGACTCCCCTAACTTCCCTCTCACTCTCAAAATCTTTGCCTTTTCTTCTTCGCTTCATTTCAATTCCTGTCTCCTTGTTTTTCTCCACCTCTTCTACACACTTTCTCTCTTTCCAATTGTCTTTCGGATCAGATTTGTAAGTAAATTTTTGTTTTTTTTAACTTTTATCTCTTTTAAGGGCTTCTACGTGATCATGTTATATGCCCTTCGTTTTGTTGTTCTTTCATTGATTCAAGCTTTTTTATGGTCTGGTTAGGTGTTAGTGTTTTTAGATCTGTTTACAATTTGGGCGAATTTTCATGTTTTCAGTGGTTAGTTTATAGCTTTTGTTATGGTTGTGGATCTGGATCTTGTGTTTAAATAATAGTAATGCCGAGTTATTTGTGGAGATCATGACTTTTTTGTGTTGTGTTTTTATGAAATGGGTTGTTGAAAAAGTGGTTATGCAATTGTGCATTTTATGTAAAGATCGCTGCTTTTTGCTGTTGTATTTACTGTTTTTTTATTTGGATCTGGGAATTTAGAGTATGTTTTGATGATGATTTGTGCTTTTCTTTTTTTTCTTAAAAAAGTGTCATTCATCTAAAGCTTTGATTTTATTGTTCGATTACTCTGCGCGGACAATTTCCATTACATATTGCCCTTAGATCTTAACTTTTTTTTTTGTTTTGGATTTGTGCAGCCTTTTGTAAGATGAGAGCTTTGCTATTTGATATGAGATCTAATTAGTTCTTTGTTTTTAATATGTTTATATTGAGATGGAGTTTTGTAAACTTTTTGGTTTAGTTATTTCTCTATGGTTGATTTATTTTTATGTTTATCTGACGTAACTTTGTATTTGAACATGTTTATTTTATGTTTCTTGCTGCAAAAGTTTGTACCTTTAGTGATGTTCATTTGTTTAATTGCTTTTTTTTTTTTTTTTGACACCGGTAGTTCTAATTTTACTTTTTGTACTTTTAACTTTTCAGAAGTTCTTGAACCATGGCTACTACATATACGCCTAAGAACATCCTCATTACTGGGGCTGCTGGTTTCATTGCTTCCCATGTTTGCAACCGGCTCATTCGTAACTACCCAGATTACAAAATTGTAGTGCTTGACAAGCTTGATTATTGTTCAAATCTGAAAAATCTCCTTCCCTCAAAAGCATCTGCAAACTTTAAGTTTGTTAAGGGGGATATCGGCAGTGCTGACCTTGTCAACTTTCTCCTCATCACCGAGTCCATTGACACTATAATGCACTTTGCAGCCCAAACCCATGTTGATAACTCTTTCGGCAACAGTTTTGAGTTTACCAAGAACAACATCTATGGTACTCATGTCCTTCTTGAAGCCTGCAAAGTGACTGGCCAGATTCGGAGGTTCATCCATGTGAGCACAGATGAGGTCTATGGAGAGACTGACGAGGATGCTGTTGTGGGGAACCATGAAGCTTCCCAACTCCTGCCAACAAACCCATACTCTGCTACTAAAGCTGGAGCAGAAATGCTTGTTATGGCATATGGTAGGTCATATGGGCTACCTGTGATTACGACCCGTGGGAACAATGTTTATGGACCCAATCAGTTCCCTGAAAAGTTAATTCCAAAGTTTATCCTCTTGGCCATGAGAGGATTGCCTCTTCCAATTCACGGTGATGGTTCCAATGTTAGAAGTTATTTATACTGTGAGGATGTTGCTGAGGCTTTTGAAGTCATCCTTCACAAGGGAGAAGTTGGCCATGTTTACAATATCGGGACAAAGAAGGAAAGGAGAGTGATTGATGTGGCGAAAGATATATGCAAACTCTTCTCAATGGACCCAGAGTCAAGCATCAAGTTTGTAGAAAATAGACCATTTAATGATCAGAGGTACTTCCTTGATGACGAGAAGCTGAAGATCTTGGGATGGTCAGAGCGAACTACATGGCAAGAGGGTTTGAGGAAGACTATAGAATGGTACACTCAGAATCCTGAATGGTGGGGTGATGTCTCTGGTGCATTGCTTCCTCATCCAAGAATGCTGATGATGCCGGGTGGAAGACATTTTGATGGGTCAGATGAGAGCAAATCTACATCTTACGTCTCAAATAATAGTAATCAGACACGGATGGTTGTTCCAACTCCCAAAGCCTGTAGCTCTCCCCGAAAGCCATCCTTGAAGTTTTTGATCTATGGTAGAACTGGCTGGATTGGAGGTTTTCTAGGGAAGTTGTGCGAGAAGCAGGGTATTGCTTATGAATATGGAAAAGGACGTTTGGAGGATCGTTCATCTCTCATAGCTGACATTCAGAGTGTTAAACCAACTCATGTTCTCAATGCTGCTGGTGTAACTGGTAGACCCAATGTTGATTGGTGTGAATCTCATAAAACTGAAACCATTCGTGCCAATGTTGCTGGAACATTGACCTTAGCAGATGTTACCCGAGAGCATGGGATCTTGATGTTGAATTTTGCCACTGGGTGTATATTTGAGTATGATGCTGGTCATCCGGAGGGTTCTGGCATTGGGTTTAAAGAGGAAGACAAACCCAATTTTATTGGTTCTTTCTATTCAAAAACCAAAGCCATGGTAATTTTACTCTGAACCTTTAATCTTGTTTATATTAACCCTTTACAAATTTTAATTTTGAGAAATGTAAATATAATTTTCTTTCTTTTTTCTTAACCAGGTTGAAGAGCTCTTGAAAGAATACGACAATGTTTGCACTCTCAGAGTCCGAATGCCAATTTCATCTGACCTCAACAATCCACGCAACTTCATCACCAAGATTTCTCGCTATAATAAGGTGGTTAACATTCCCAACAGCATGACTGTTTTGGATGAACTTCTTCCCATCGCAATCGAGATGGCAAAGCGTAACTTGAGGGGTATATGGAACTTCACAAACCCTGGTGTTGTCAGCCACAATGAAATCCTGGAGATGTACAAGGCTTACATAAACCCCGAGTTTAAGTGGGCAAATTTCACCCTAGAAGAGCAAGCCAAGGTGATCGTCGCTCCTCGAAGCAATAACGAGATGGATGCTTCCAAGTTGAAGAACGAGTTCCCGGAGTTGCTATCCATCAAGGAATCGTTGATCAAGTATGTTTTCGAGCCTAACAAGAGAACCTAAGCAGCATTTTACCTAACACGGCTTGCCAGTATCTTAGTAATGATAATTGGTTTTACTCGTGTTCCCTGATAGCTTATGAAATTACCTTCTACGGCACTAGATATCATTATTTTTCTTTGTAACAAAATATGGTTAGTGTACCTTTTCTAGAATAAGAAGCAGCTTTAAATAGGTTCTCTATATTTTCATGTTATCTGCTAGATTGCAGGGGTGTACTTTTTGCATTCTGTTTGATGATTATTATTGCTTGTTTGATTTTTTCAATCTTTATGTACTCTTGATCTTAATTAATGGTGAAAAAAATGTTCACATTTAAATGGGTATCCCATTCTTGTTGATTCGGAAAATACTCTAAACATAATAGAAACTACTCAAGCCTGAGTTTGAATCAAACATTTCATTTAATAGAAAGACTGGACTTCTTTAAGTGTTAGAAAACACCTCTATTAAGAAAACAAATAAACAAGCTTGCTTCTTTAGGTAATAAGAAAGTTCATATAGGAATAGAAAAATAAAAAAAGATCACTAAGAAAGTGCATTCTAANTGAGCATAAAGACCAAGTATTATTTGATTCAAGGGCCTGAATTTCTTTGGCCATGGCATCGCGCCATTCACCAGATTTTATGGCTTGAGAATAAGAGCGTGGTTCTTGATGTTCAATAATGTTTGTTAGAAAAGCACGATGAGAATGGCTTAGATGGGACAAAGAAAAATAATTGGCTAGTGGAAAATCAGTTGAAAGTGAAATATGGTTACAAATATAATCTTTGAGATGACCTGGTGGACGATGAATTCGTTGAGAATGATTATTTATTATAGAACCAAGTGCTATTGGAGGAGAAGTATTAGAATGAGTGTCCTCGGAAACAGGTGGAGAGTTGGGTGAATTATCAAGATGAGGACTAGGTGCCATTGAAGGAGAATTATTAGAGGGAGTGTCCATAGAAATAGGTGGAGAATTGGGTGTGTCATTAAGTGGAGAATCATTGGAATACTCAACTAGATTATGAGGGATAGGATCACTAGAAGAAATATTAGTGGGAACAATCGGTGGTATAGTGTAGTCAAAAGTTCCATCATCATTAATTGGAGTAATAGTAATTGTGTAAAACCCCATTCCTGATTTTAGTTAGATCATGAATTGTATTTAGTTAATTAATTCTTTTTTGTTTTTAATTTGATTTTTGGTATTGTGGTAAGATAGGGGTATTTCTGTCAGTTTTTAAAGCTGCGTTAAGGGGTGAAATCGAAGAAATAAATCCTGATGGGTTTGCATGTATCAATAGGGAAAAATTTGGACTTTTTTGCTAGGGAAAGCTTATGTGGCGGGGTTAAACTGAAATTTAGAGAAATTGGGGGGCAGAAATAATTTCAGAAAGCTGTTTTTATTTAAAAGAAGAAACTGGGCAGTTCGCCCAAAGGAAGAAGAAGAAAACGAGAGCAGAAGAAAGAAAGGAAAGGAGAAAGAGAGGAGAGAAAGGAGAAAAAAAAGGGGGAGAAGAGAAGAAACAGTGGGTTTGGCTGAGAGATAGAGTGAGAGAGGAAGAGAAAAAAAAAAAAAAGAAAAGAGAAGAACAAAGAGAAAGGGAGAGGATATATTAGTTTTTAAGTCTGTGAACAGTGCATCATCAAATCGTGATCTGGAGCTCATTTGCCATCCGATCGTTCTGATTTTTGGATATGTTGTTCATGAAACACAGCTCTACATTCTGAATGGTGGAGATCGAAATCCAAGAACTGTAATAGATAGCCAATTATAGGATTAGAAGAGAGTGGATCAACGAAAACTTATTTTCTAAAAGCTTGATTCTTTATTGCATGTAATGTGTTGAAGTTATTGTGGTGTCTGATGCATAAATCTTGATGTGTGTGATGCATAATTTTGCTTCATTGTTCGGTTGGTTTGGAGTTTATGTGTTGCATGTTCAGTTCGTTTTTTTAGCTGAATACTTGATGAAAAGCTGGAATTTTGGTGAAACTTCATACTAATTTGAATTGCACGTGTCGGCTGAACAAAAAGAGAAGCTTGCATGTTGGTTGATCTTAGCCAAAAACATGGGTGGAAAACTGGAAAATTGGGTGTCTTGTTATGCAATAATCTGACTTGTTTTTGGGTGATAATTGGGCAGTCCTGGCTTGCATGTCTCGGCTGTCTTTTTATTTATTGAAATGGTTGCTGGAAGTCTATTTGTATATATATATCCTTGCATTTGGCTGGACAGTAGGTGGGAATTGTGCTTGGGTTGCGTTTTAATTGAAATGCTTCCTGGGTAATACATTGCATGCACTTAGTTGGAATACCTTTGGAAAATTGATTGGTTTGTGTTTAGAAAGTGTAGGAATTTAAGGCAAGCTGGGTGAAAGTGTATTCCGTATTGAGTAATATTTTATAGAAACTATGAAATAGTGAGTCTTGGAAGTCAAAGAAAGTACTTCTCATTTATGATTGTATGACATTCCTTGAGATTAATAGTTTCTTATATATATACTCGGGGTAATGTGCAGCATGTGAATCTTATCAAAAAAAAAATTTGAGTGTTTTATAGTATGAAAGTGATACCTGCACAAGAGTGGTGTCGGACGTGCCATTGTGATGGGGTGCTTTTCGTCAGTTTTGAAAGTACGTTTTAAAAACTTGCATTTTACCCCCTATTTTCCATGAAATCTCATATGTTGGCATGATTTATCCTTATATGAATTATTATTATTATTATTATTATTATTGCTCTCGGGTTTATTTATCATTATAACGTGTTATATGAGTTTTGACTTTTAAAAGTGATATTTGCTTATGATTTGTATCGGTTATATGCTAAGATCATGTGATGTGGAAGTAATTTTTAATCTGGGTTAAATTGTCAGTTTTAAAACATGTTTGGAAATTTTCAATTTCACCCTTGGATGTGATTTTTGAATGTTATGTTATATATGCATGATTATTATTATGTTTGACTCCCAGATTGGAAACCGTAACCGTCCCCCTCTAGACATTAGCTAGTATTTGATATTTATCCTCATGCGCGCATTGAGATGGTCCGTTTTACCGAACCATTGGTATATCCTACTAGGACAAGACAGACGCCTGACGAGCTCCATGCGGGATTACACCAAGCGGTTATTGGCCGGTGTGGGATTTTGGACGCCCCGAGGGTAGACTGTGGGCGAGATTATATTTGATACCATATCATGACACCCCGAGGGTAGACTGTGGGTTGAACATGGTTATCCAATGATGTTCGTACCATCCCGAAGGTAGACTGCGGATGGTGCCGCCCCGAGGGTAGACTGTGGGTGGTGTAGCTTCATGTCTGGGTTAGGGACTGGTTCAGATAGTTATGATCTTGGCCCCTAAGTGCTGGTAGGGTGGTGATAATTGATTTATTTTATATGATAGTGGTGTGTGATTTCATGGCATCCGAGAATAATATATATATACTGTTGTTGCCTTATCATGTAAGTGCACTAGTGTTGTGTGGCATACAATTATTCATACTTGTTTTCAAAGTTAAAATTATTTTTGTACAAATTATATTATCCGCTCACTGGGCTTCCCAGCTCACTGTTTTATGTTTCCTCCCCCAGGATCGTAGATCGGGTTCGTGTGGAGCATACTCTACGCTCTAGGTTGGCCTTGACGCATGATGATTTGCATCTTTTACAAACTTTAGTGGACTCTGATACTATGTTTCTTTTGTAACTGGATTTCAGTTCTTGTTTTTAGAATAATTATTTGTGTATTTCCACTTTCTAAACCTTAAACATGCAAATGCACTACTTTTCACTTTCGTCTATAGACGAAATTGTTTTTATGAATGTTTTTTTTTTTTTTTTTTTAAAAGTATTCACCTTCCTTTCGGGATCTTGAGTCTCCTGGAGCGCCCGGATCCGGTGAGATAGGGATACTCAGGAGGGGGCGTGCCAAATTGAATTTTTTAATGATGGAGATGGAAGATCGCGATATAGAAAAATTGACTCATGAAATATAACGTCACGAGAAACGTAGATTTGATGAGTTTTGCAATCATATATGCGATATCCTTTTTGACTGTATGGATAACCAACAAAAATACCAGGTTTGGCTCGCTCATCAAACTTATGTTGAATATTCATAATTTTAGCAACACATAAACATCTGAAAACTCGAAGAGACGAGTATGAAGGAATAGTTCCAAGTAAAACTTGATGAGGTGATTTATAGTTAAGGATCGGAGTTGGAAGTTTGTTAATAAGAAATGCGGCAGTGAGAATACATTCACCCCAGAAAGAAAGAGGCAAGTTTGCTTGAAATCATAGAGATCTAGCAACATCAAGGAGATGTCGATGCTTACGTTCTACAACGCCATTTTGTTGGGGGGTCGCAATGCAACTACGTTGGTGAATAATACCATTTTCATGAAACCATGTTTGAATTTGTTTAGAAAGAAATTCAGTACCATTATCTGAATGAATGGTTTGAAGTTGAGGAAGAAAAATCTGCCCATTACCAGAGTTGATACGACAAATTTTCGTGTTGAATTGACGATTGATTTGATTAAAAAAATGAATTAACATGTTGAAAGTTTCAGATTTATGTTTCATTAAATAAATCCAAGTACACCTTGAATAATCATCAACAATAGTTAAAAAGAAACGTGATCCATTTTTGGACGGGATAGAAAAAGGACCCCAAATGTCAACATGAATTAATTCAAAACAATGAGAAGAACAAGATGATCTTTGAGTAAAAGAAAGACGCAGCTGTTTTGAAAGATGAATGCATAGAGAATCAAGCATATCATACTATAACAAGTATAGTCATAGTTTTAAAAAAAAAAAAAAATTTAATCAAATTGAAATAAGTAAGGTAGAACATGTTACCTTAAGCCCTTAGCAACCTTGGAGACTCTTAATTTTAAGAGAAATTAAGCAAAAGAGTATCCACACTAAGGGAAGAAGAAATTTGGCCAAGAGAGAGATTTAGGGTTCTTAGAGATTTTTCTCTATACAAAAATTTATATATCATTTTCTTTATATAAGAATCCTTGTAAACAATTCAATAATTGTTTTGGACTTCCTTAAACAATTCCATAATTGTTATGAAGTTGTTAAACTTCTTTAAATTATAACATTGGATTAATATTAAATCATAATTAATAATTTAACTCTTAAATTGTTTACATAACAATTTAACCTTAATTGTTTACAATTACAACCCCTTATAAAATCCAATTTAATATAAAGAAAATGATTAATATAAATAACTTTATTACCCTTGGTAGGTGCTAGCCAATCTTGGATAATCAACTCTCTTTGGCTATTTCTCCATTTTCCTTAGTTTTTATGTGTGGCCTCTTAGGTTCACTGTGGCCTAGTCGTAAGCCCAATATCACAATCTATTTTGATATGTTTTGTCATAATTCTTTATGAAAAAAACTCCCACTGATTATGGTAGACATCTAGCAATGCTCCATAACCCCTAAGTCACAATGAAGATATACTCCAACAAACCTTTTACAATCATACACATTGTATAATCAAATCATTTCGTTGTCTAATCTTAATTAAGAATGGATTCATAGTATGTCAAAATCCTTATCTTAATTTTAATTCAATACATATGGAACGTGTCACCATGAAACAACCTTTCATATAACAATTTATATACCCCGGTCGAAGATTTCCCTTTTCAATTTATCTTGACATTTGTCTAGGAACTTGATATCAATCTATACCAAGTCAACAGATCCCATCTTGACTATCACTTGTCCTCACACATAAACAACGCATGACTAAATTGGCTTATTAACATATGACATGATTAGCCTCATGTTTATACACCATATGAACCATATGCGTTTATGCAGAATCCAACCATGATATCTCAAGTCTAAGGATTAATAATACATTAGTATGATTTTATGATAAATCCTTGACTACATTTTAAATGTCCATGTGATTCATCATAAATGGCCATATTCGATAAACAGTTCACTAACCGCGTATCCATGCTAATGTCCTAGTGATATAACTTTTATAATCACCCACACTAATACCATCACATGATATTCTACGGAGGCATTCAGCATGCCTGCTATGTAATATTATTGCCCAATTAATATTACCTATGTAGGGTATACTTTGATGATTTTGATCTTCTAAAAATTTATATCATTCGGACATTTCACATGTAATACATATATATAAATGAAGCAATAAACCACATGTGAAGTAAGAACATTTTCTTCTATTGATAAGATAAAATGTATATACAAAATATATACATTAACATATATATACAAAACATAATGCCTTGAAACTGACGACACGATTGGTTCCTAGGGCATACACTAACATGTTTAGCACGCGGACATACATCAAAAACAAAATCTTTATTCGCAATAATAATGGGAAAATTCTTAACAATGAAATCAAAACGAGACCTAGATGGATGACCAAGGCGAGAATGTCATAGGTCAAATTTATTACAATGCTTGAATGAAAAAGCAGAATTAAAAACTAAATCTGCATCTAGGTAAAAAAGACCATTTCGAGCACTACCCCGACCAATCTTCTTCTTCGTTGCTCGATCCTGAAATATACATTCAGAAGATGAAAAAAATACATCACAATTTGTTGAATTGGTTAATTTTGAAATAGATAACAAATTGAATTTGAAAGACGGAATGTGAAAAACATTAGTGAGAATAAGTGATGGTGAACAATGAACTGTGCCTATGTGTGTCACAGGTGCATGAGAACCATCAGCCAGTTGAACTACCATGCTTTTATGAAAAGTAGAATATGAAGAAAAAAAATGAAAGAGATGTACATATATGATTAGAAGCACCTAAATCAATAATCCAACAAGAGGATAAACAAGTGAGAATTGTACCTGCCAAATGGACTGATGATCCACCAGATTCCTCTTTGGATAAAAGTGCAAGAAGCTTGTTGTATTGTTCAGGTGTTAATTGATTAGTAGCGGAAGGGCCCTGATTTCTTCACCTGCGTATTTGGAAAGCCATGAATTTGGTAGCATGTGGCAAGAGTATGACCATGCTTGTTACAATGTTCACAAAAAGGACGTTGACGCTTTCCCGATGGCCGAGAAGGTGGTTTAAATGCCTGAAACACTGCCGAATCAATGGTAGGAGTTGTTCGAATATTAATCTCTTGTTGTTTTTCTTCTTGACGTACCAGATTATGGATACGCTGAATTGAAGGGAACAGCTCCATCAAGAGAATTTGACTGTGAATTACTGAAAAACGATCATGGAGTCCTTGAAGAAACTCCATGGCACGATCTTGATTTTGTTGATCAATACTGCTTTTAGCATTACCATAGATACATGGAGTGACGCAAACAATAGAACTGAGTTCGTCCCATAAGGATTTGAGTTGTGTGAAATATAATGAAACATACATACCTTCTTGCTTGAGGGAAGAGATTGATTGTTTCAATTGATAGATCTTAGGAGCATTTGATTGAGAAAAACGATCCTTAAGATCTGTCCAAATTTGTGCTGCAGTTTCAGTATACAAGATGCTTGGACGGATCTCAGGTGAGACTGAATTAAGAATCCAACTTCCAACAAAAAGGGTAAATTTTATTTGCTGGCAAGTTATTTGGATAATTTTGCAAACATAGTGTAATACTACTACCCTCTTGGAAGTTGGAACAGAAGGGGAATATGATTGTTTTCAGAGATACATATATGGTCCTACAACTTGAAGGCGTGAATAGGAAGGACGTGAGTCAAATTTACATAAACGAAGCACATAATATATAAATATGAAATCTCCTCTTCTTCCTANGTCATGGGCTAAGACCAACCTTAGAAGATCAATTGTACCTTCCATCAGGGCCTGTTTTGGTAGATGGGCTAGTTCGAACCCTTCTAACAATGTTTTCAACTGGGCCTGATTGTGTTGAAACAGAGTGTCCTGGATTAATGCATACTTGTCTGGTATAACCACCACAATCCCATTCTGAATATGGACAGTAGCATTTACTCTCACGAGTTCTTCCAGTTTAGATTTTACCAGTAACATTTTGGCAATGTATAACCTGGTCCAATCTTCCTCTCCTTTCTTCTGAATTTCTTTTAGTGCATAAAAACCCATTTTTACCGCAGTATTTAACATAATTCGGTACCATGGTTCTCCTACAAGAAATTCCCATATCTGTACAGGCTGAACATCATAGCTCTCTTGCAATGAGGAAGTAATCATGCAAGTGAATTTGTCGACCTTGTGATTTAATACACAGAGCGTCTGCTTAACCGCGTCTGGCATATTCGGGTCCACCATTGCTTCCTGTACGTCAATTTGCATTGTATCGATCCATCCTTTAGTCAAAAGATCTCTACATAAACCTTTTCTAAAGATTTTCCATGGAACGAACAATTCCATAGCTCCATTAGGATAAACTGATAATCCTTGAACTAAATCAGTCAAGTCAGTTTTTCCCAATTTCACTATTAAATCATTCAAATTCTCGAGTTTGAGCTTTAACATGTCAAACAAATAACATTTTCTCATTACCTCAAGTTTTTGAATTCCTGCTGCATAGAGTACGTCAGTTCCTTTGAACTCTTCGTCCTCATAGAACAGTTTATTAGCTTCCAGCCATGCTAACCTTCTTGCTAGTTTCTCTAAACACCTCTGCAACTGTACTTCCCCTTGTCTTGTCGCCATTGCGATCCTGTTTAGTACTACTTTTAAAATAATATTATACTTATAAACTCTTTATATACTTTTTAATTAAAAAAAATATGAATAAAAGGTGTGACAATTTATTTATACAAAAAATATTAAACACACGAATTTTGTATTAAACAAAAAAAAGGAAAAAGAGCTTTGAAGTTCCTCCTCCAATAGATGGGCCTGAGCTGGTAGTACAAGCGCGCAAGGCCCAGCCCATTTGAGCATTGCAGAAATGGACCAGGTCATGTGAGGTGATGAGTCTGAGTCATGCATTTTTAGATAGCCGTTAGATGCCCACCCACTGGCGGCCACTACTTTTATTTTTGTTGTAGTAGAGGAGGGACTTTGGATTCTTTATCTTAACGGTAAGGTCTAAGGAACTTCCTTCCAAAGCTATTTCGCAAACATTACCAACTGACTGAGACCTTTAGCCTAAGTTTTCCTCCAACTCCAACCGCCGCCTCCAACTTAGTTCCATCACTTTCACTAACCAATTTCCCTTTTTTACCCTTATTATACTTTTATTTACATTATCTTATCTTTTCTGATTTTCATGATGATGACAATGATAGTTACAATCATGATCATTATAATGTTTCTGACCATCAAATTTTCCTTTACATATCATTGTTCAAGGAAAGCCAATATTAAGTATATTAAAATGATTTTTTTAAAAGAAAAAACTGAATTAAAGCCAATATTAAATTACGGTATAGATAAAATGATTTGCGCGCGGAATTTTTGTAAAATTATAGTGGATTATTACGCAAGTTATAATATATTAACGGGTCCAGATCACTATGATTATTTTCTTTCTTTCACGAAAACTTGGCATTTATTTACTAGACATTCAAATTACCAAAATAAGACAAACCGAAATGTGGTCACTCCCGCAATTTTGAAGACAAGCAATGGCAAATTCGGTAAACCAAATATTTCAAAACCAAAACTGTAACAACAAACCGACACGCGGACAATTTCACCGGCTGCAACCGGTCTCCTTGGCCATACCAGGTTTCCGTTTTTAAAACCTCCCAAAACCCGTCCGTTGTTTCGTCATTTTGCACTCTCTTCTCTGGTCTCTCCATATCTCCTCTGTATTCGTCTTTTCTGCTCACGAAACCCTAATCCACCGGAAGTTTTTACCAATTTGTCATCTAATTCACTAGCTAACAACTAAACCTCTCGAAAATTTCACTATATAGTTACTGTACTCGTCATTTGTAGTTTTTCAAGTGGAAGTGTGGTCGTTTTAAGCTAAAATCAAAGCCAAAGCGGTTTATATTTTAAGAAATTATAGTATTTATAACAATGTCTGTGGCTACTAAGCGTCAATCGTCGGCTAAACTGGTGTCCGAACCGCGCGCTATTCTCGGTCCGACCGGTAACAGAGTTAGGGCTTCCGAGGACCCGAAACGGAAAACTGAAGTTGTGAAGAAGCCCCAGAGGCGCAAAAAACCTGTTCCAAAAATTCCGGAACAGGTTGTTAGGAACAATGGCTCAGTGGATAGTGCGTGTTCTTCAGATTCTTCGTCTTCAAGTGCGTCTTCGGCCAAAAAAATGGAGAGTTCTAGAAGGACTGAAATGGTGAAGCGTAACGAAGTGAAGAATGCGAAGGTTGTTCCTGATGGTAGCGCTGAAATTGCAGAAAATTCACCGCCAATTCCGGGGCCGATTAAGAGGTGTGATTGGATCACACCCAACTCTGGTACGTTAATTTTGTGATTTGTGTAATTCTATGACAAATTGTGCTGCATAATTAAAGCGTGACATAAAGAGAATTGAAAATTTTGGTGGTGAACCTGTATCCCTGTTGTCTAAGTTGAAACATATTAAACTTTTTGTTGGTACAACTTTTAGTATGGATACTTAGTTATGGGCCTCATGGCTTCTGGTTGCGTCCATACTAGCTACACAATGATGTGTAAATTTAGATTTTAGATGTTTCTCGATTTGCTAGGGGAACTGTTTTATTCAAACGTCAATATTGAAAATTTCCAAAGAAGATGGCGAGATTTTAAATATATCACAAAATTTTGTTAATTAGATACCATTCAAGGCTTGATTTCAAACTACATGCACTTGCAAAAGGGCAGAATGGGATTTACATTAGCTCAGAACAGCAGAGTAGCATATGCAGTCCTTACCTTAATGGTGGAGTAAATTGTGGTAGGTTCTTTTTTATTTACCACAGTCTATGGGTTTCACTTACTATATTACACTACTGAAGCTCAACAAGCGGAGTGGCATCTGCTGATCGCATGGCCTACTCAAGTATATTTGAATTACCATGGCTGTTTGTAGAGTTAGTATGGGACCCAAGGTTTTCTTTTGAACATTTATTGGTGGCATAATTATAAGGCAGATTTTTTTATTCCAACAATTCAAAAAGGATGATGAACTTTTTCCTTGAAGAAGCCAAAACTTCTCCAGGCATAAATAATTTGTTGATTTGAAAACGGGTGACAATTGATTCTGCTGTGTTACCATATCATTCAAATTATATAATTTCAGTTTCTTCCTTAAGAACTTGTGAAATGCGTGTTCTGGAGGCGGAGGAGCTGATCTGTATATATTTTTTATTCTCACTTTATTTCACCATGGTCCATTCACTAGCTTGTCTTATTGGATTACCAAATTAGCTACTAACCGTAGCTTCTATTTTGTGCATTAACAGATCCACTTTATACTTCTTTCCATGATGAAGAATGGGGAGTTCCAGTTTATGATGATCAGAAGTTGTTTGAGCTACTTGTCTTTTCACAAGCATTAGCAGAACTCAGCTGGCCAGCGATTCTTAATAAGACAGACATATTTAGGTGTGTTAGCCTCTAATCTCTTTATTCGTTGTAGTGTTTTCTTAGAAAGTTAATGAATGTTTTATTGTTGGATTCCTCTTGGCAGGAAGCTTTTTGAAAATTTCGACATATCATCCATTGCACAGTTTACTGAGAAGAAGTTGCTGTCATTGAAAGTAAATGGGAGCCTAGTGCTTTCTGAACCAAAGCTTCGTGCAGTTGTGGAGAATGCTAAACTGGTGCTCAAGGTAATTGATAAGGTCATCAACTATTACAACCTCCTTTGTATACATGCACAATCATGACATGTGGATTTGCGTTAAGCAACTTATGCTGCTTTGGGTGAGGCATCAAAATGTTCCCCCCTCGCACATTTCCTTGATGGATACATGAATTAAGATTTAGCTTTTTCCCTATCTTAAAAATGAATATATTTTGATCTGACTACTCAATAGTGTACATAGGCACAAGTTAATAAGGTGAAATTCGTTGATTCAGTATAATTTTTTGGTTTCCTCAGGAGACAATAAATATGCTGGCATTTTTTTTTTTTTTTTTTTGGTTGTAGAAAACAGGCTTTAAGGACTGATAACAAGAAATTGCATTAATATTTGTTATTAAGCTGGGCAATGAGATCATTCACCAGAGAAAATTTTGTGCTTAAGCATGGTTTGGTTTTCAGGTTCAACGTGAGTTTGGTTCCTTTAGCAATTACTGCTGGAACTTTGTGAACCATCTGCCTGTGAGAAATGGATTTCGTTATGCACGCCAAGTACCTGTCAAGACACCAAAAGCAGAACTTATAAGCAAGGATCTAATGCAAAGAGGATTCCGCTGTGTTGGCCCCACAGTTGTTTATTCATTCATGCAAGTGTCTGGGATTGTTAACGATCATCTCTTAACATGCTTCAGATACCAAGAGTGTAATGCAGATGCCAAAAAGGATCTGAAACCAAGGATTGAGGAGACAAAAGAACTAAACAAAACTCTGGAGAAGACATGCTTATCCCATGACTGATTTGCTGGATCCACACTTTTCCTGACTAATCACACAGATCTGATTAATATAAAACTAAAGCTAGAAATAAGAAGAGCAGACTTTGTCATGTATCAGGTTAGAGTTTACCACTTCTGGATGTTCTTGTGGGATGTTCTATCACTTGTGTATTATTTACCTATCTAGAGATTGAAGTTTTAGTACCATGGAGAGTTCATTTGTGGTGCTGTTTGACTGTAAATGCTTCTATGGAAAAAGATTACCCTTGCAATCCAAGCTTTCGGGCATCTTTTTTGTGCTGTAATGTTGCTTATAGAGATCGTCTTAGACGGTATTCATGTTGTAATGTCGCTAGTAGAGTGTCTTAGATGATCATGCAAATTTACCGATATCATCACTTTAGCCATCTTGTAATGAAATCTGATTATTGTACAAGTTCTTTCTGATTTGGGTTTTTGTTTATGGAGCTTTCGTATGTTTGGAATGGTGTTGACGAGGGGCCATCTAGCTATCTATTAAGTGCATTGAGAACTAATGTTACTTCTGTTAATTGCGCATAATTCATACCAAATAAAAAAAATTCCAGGATAACAGAAGCAACGTGCCCTGATTGATACCATAATGGAAGCCTCAAAGTTGAGAGATGGATTATGGATAGGACCCGAACCCTTCCTCCAGACAGCAGAGATTGGCCTCGCTGACCATTACTCTACAATTAAAACAACAATAATTTAATTTTTTGTTATTCCAGTTTCTCTGTTGTAGAATTTGACGTGTATGCAAGTGAACATGGATTTGTCGGGCAAATAATTAACTTTAATGTGCATGGATGATCACCAGTCACCCTCTCATGATCCAAAGACAATGTAATAAGCAGTTTCTGGAGCATCTGTGTTTCCTCTCAGCGAGGATGGACAATTGACTACCAGATGATTAAATTTAATCTGAAAAACTCTACTGTGAAAATAAAGAATTTTTTGCTTTCAAGCACAAAGACAGCCCTTAACAAGACAAGCCATCTACATTTTGATTGTAAAAGTTGAGGTTTACCATATTCTACAAACAATGAACTTTTTCAACCAAGACAGTAACTTCCGCAGTATCTACATCTACAAGTAACGCTTCTGAAACATCTAGTCTCCCAAACAACTCAACAGGGTACGGGAACATCAAATGACAAAGGGAAAAAGAAAATAAATAAATAAACTTCAATAACATTGGGTGGACATCCTCCGGGAACTGAGTTCTCTTTTGAGTGGGTTGGGTTGACAGCACCGTAAATACCCCTTCAACTCCCAACTGCATGAACCAAGAACCAAATAGAAAATCACATTCTCCTCTTCACTGCACAATGACATTCACTTGCCTCCTCAGCTTAACTCTGAGTCTTCCCTATTCCAAGTGTGAGGTCCAGCTCATCCATTCCTACCTCATGAATCTTCTCCCCTTCCCACGGCTTCACAGGTGCACTCTCAAACTGAAACTCTGGACCTCGCCCCTTCTCCTTGATCACATTATCAGTAACAACTTGTTGACCCACGGGCCTAACAAGGTTAAAGGTTGGAGAGGTTGGTACCCCAGACGCAGATGGTGCAAATTTTTGAAAGCTTATCCAGTGACCGGAATCAACAGTGGATGTATCAGACTCATCGCATTCATGTATAGTAGCTGCTGGGGCATACAACTGACGGTGAATTGGACTGGCTGGAGCAGAAATAGCATAGAAAGGGTAATTGAAGGCTGACATGGATTCTTTAGCAATTGAATCCCAGTTGGGAATTGGTTTAGGATGTTTTGTTGGTGATGACAGTGGTGGAGTTACAGGGGCACTGTTTGAGATCCGGAGAGGAGGAAGTGATGAAGGGATTACATTTCGGAGGAGTGGAAAGAGATTAGAAGAATTGTTGGGGTCAGCGCGAGTAGGGCTAGATGGATAGGAAGGAACTGGGCTTTGAAAGGCTGAAGATAGAGGGCTTGGATTTTGGGAAGAGTAGGGGGTGATCCTGGTTGAAGTGCTTGCTATATCAATTGGGGGTGGCTTCACTCCCTGGATAAATTAAGCTAATTAGCCACTTATTATCATATAAGCCATAATTATTCACCAATTAAAGTATCACGACAATTAACTAAACATATTGATTTGTTCACAAGTAGCAACAGATTTGTTTCTATCATATGTTCTTTAAAAAAAAAAAAACTGCAAAATCATATTCCTATTTCCTAGTCCATCAAATTCGCAAAGCAGAACCCAGAAATCTAGTCAAAATTATCATTGAAAAAGAACAAAGACAGCAAATCGAAAGCATAGGCAATAGATCTACAAGGAGAGAGAGTAAAGGGTAGTTTACTTTGCGATAAGTAGTGCCATCTTCTTCAACAACCCAACCAGCCTCCAAACAAAGTGCTTTCAAGACCTCATTATTATCACAGTGTTTGGGCAAATTGTAATTACCCTGAGCCCTTAACCCAGTATATATTTTAGCGGCTATAGCTCTTCTCCTCCTCTCTCTACGCCTGTTGTTCTCTCTCTCCCGCCAGGTCGGCTTTCTCCGAGCAGCCGATGTGGATGTTGCCCCATCTGACGTCATTTCCCGACAACCCTTAACTGTTAATCAGTGGGTTATGTTGTAGGAGATATAAAACCAGAAGAGAGAAGAATGGAGAAGTAACGCTCACGAGGAACGAGCTTTACCTTCGCTCGAAGCGAAGAAGAATCTTTCTTGTTTGCAAGGAGGAAACAAAAAAGATGTAGCCTGTTTCTTGGAAATTGCAAGGTGTGTACAGGTACAGGGTAAAAAAGAAAGAATAGAAAGAGAAAGAGGAGGCATGTACTGTAGGGTATGATCGTTGATGATGTGAATGATTGATTGATTAAGTGTTGTGTTGTGATTTGGTTGTTTGTATTGCTACATGTGCATATGGGGTTTTGTACATTAGAGTTGTGATGTACAGCGTGTGAATTCATGTACTTGTCACGAGTCATGAGCATGACCATGAAAAAGTCATGACTTTGGGCTCCACGGTCGTTCAAACGGGACCCCTTTAGTATCATTGTATTTGTATTGTATGTCGAATGGAATGTAAATTACTTGGTACAAATGACATTAATTTGATCTGCTCCTGCCCTTTATTATTGTTAGAGTCAACGACATCTTCCTATCCAAGGTTTTACGAAATTCAAGATTGGTACCCCTGGTTTCATAATTTTCAGATTCTCACCCTTAAATGGATGACGTTTCATTTCTTTTAACCGTTGAAGGTTAAAATGGTTATTTAACATTTTCATTTCTAAAAAACATTCTCTCACCCAGTCAGCGACGGCTATGGCATAAACACTTCCAAATCAATCACAATCAACTTCGAAACAACCTTTAATCTAAATTTACTTTAAAAAATCTCTGAAACAAACACCAATCAAATTTAAAAATCGTGAAAACCTAAGGGAAGAGGCGACCGACAAATGGCAGGTGATCGGGACTTGGGATGTTGGGGGTTTTAGAGAGGGAACGTCGGTGGTGCAAAAGGTGGTGGTGGGGAGAATTTCTGATGAAGGGAGGAACCATAATTTTGTTGGGGAAGCGCGATAATTGCGCAAAACCCTAAGGGGTTGGCGGTGCTGGTCGACGTGCAATTGTGGTGGAGGAGGAGTTTGGGGGTTTTGGATGGGGGACTCTGGTAAGGCTAATGGTGGAATCGGCAGCAATTATCAACGACAGATTTGACCAGAAAAGCTTGAAACTCGTGGGCAAGAGGGAGTGGCAGCTAAAATCTAGGGAGGAATGGATATGTTGGGGTAGGGCTGCAGCTGGATGGAAGTTCGCTCAATGGGGACATGCGTTGGGCGTTGGCGCTGGACAAGCGCGCGCGCAAATGGCAAGGTAGTTCTCTTGGGAAATTTTTCGAACAAGTGGTGTGCCTGTGCCAGTAGCTGAAAAAAAATCAATCTTCCCAATTCGTCCAAAACCCAAAAAATAGACAAACAACACTCCAAAAAACACTCAATCAACCTCCAGACATAACCCCAACACTCAATCTCCAATCAAGAAGCAGACAACCACCAAAATTACACAAAAGGCCATCGGCAGTGAAGAAGATGAGGGGAGATGAAGAAGAAGAGGGTCCAAGGGTAGTTTGGTAAAAACATATGTTGCTATTCTGTCTAAACTCATCCGTCACTAACGACGTCCATTTACGGGTGGGAATTTGAAATTTATGAAACCAGGGATACCAATCTTGGATTTCACTAAACCTTGGGTGAGAACATGTCGTTTACTCTTATTATTATTTTTTAGAAACTTTTATCATCTTAGGAGAATTCTGGGATATACTGAACTTGCTCCTTTGGATAGTAAGCTGGAGCTCTGTTTTATTTGGAAGCATTTCAACTTCAAAATTTTTACCTTTCAAAACCTCAAATCAGTGGAGGTGAGTTGAGGAGGGAGATTCTTCATTAGATAGGACTTCAACTATGTTGAGTCGGATGGGTATATATAACCATATTGAAATGAATGGTAGAGAGCAACTAGAAATTATGATGGTTTTAGTAATTTAGAGATCTAATTCTGCATTCTATGTAAATTATCAAGACACACCTCAACACTTTACTGTTCATGATTAAAAGAAAACTGCAGATATATTGTGTAAACGATAGACTGCAAGTCACATTAAGAAGATGATGATTTTTTTTCTCTCAGCAAGTCTATTTTGTGGAGGAGTGTGAATACCTGACATATGGTGAGCAATGCCTTTTTCAGTAAAGAATTTCTCAAAATCATTATTGACATATTCTCTACCTTGATCACTATGTAATATTTTGATTTTTGTGTCAAAGAGGTTAGAAATTATGTTGTAAAAAATAACAAACAATGAAAATACCTCAGATTTGTCACGCATCAGATACACCCACATATGTATAGTATGTTCATCAATAAAAGTCAAAAACCACAGATGACCAAAAAGACTAGTAGTATGACATGGTGCCCAAACACCCAAACATCAGAGTGGATAATGAAAAAGGAAGAGTCGTTTTATTCTAACTAGAAGGATAGGAAACACAGTGATGCTTAGCAATCTCACAAATGTCACAATGGATTTTTGTTACTTCAGAGGAACTTACCAAGTTAGAGAAAACTTTTCAAAGTACTTCAAAGGACGGGTGACCAAGACATCTATGCCATAGCCACATATCTAGAGGATCACCTTCTTGTTTTATTCCTTGAAAACTAGAGGACAACCATTGTTTCTCCTTATTCTTCTTTACAAAGTATAATCCGTTTTCTTCTTCAGCAAGACCACTCCTCTTGC